AAAACACAATAGTTACGTCGTACAACCGGAATTTCACAGGTCGCAATGATGCCAACCCAGAGACTCATGCATTTGTGACCTCCCCAGAGGTAAGAGACAGCCAGAGGGGGCATGGGGAGAAGTTCAGGTGTGTAACTTCGAGAGCCTTCTGGCTGCTTTGTTAGGCACAGAACTTTCAAATGAAGAGATGGGAGGAAGACTAAGCCTTTAAATCGTTTTTCTTTCAGATTGTCACAGCCCTGTCCATTGCTGGCACTCTGAAATTTAACCCCGAGACAGATTACCTGACAGGAACGGATGGGAAGAAGTTTAAACTTGAAGCACCTGATGCAGATGAGCTGCCCAAGCTGGTAACTGCTCGCCCTGGAGATGGAGGGAGGGGAGGCCTGTCGCTGTCAGTGTTTCATATGTTGCAGGGGAACTCCCATGCACTGCCTTTAATGTTAAAATTGGCTTGTTCTCTTCACATGCTGTTGGGGATGGCTGAGACTGATGATTTTCCTTTCCTTATCCTTTTGAAGGAATTTGACCCAGGCCAGGACACCTATCAGTACCCTCCCAAGGATGGCAGCGGGCAGCACGTGGATGTGAGCCCCACCAGCCAGCGCCTCCAGCTCCTCGAGCCCTTCGATAAGTGGGATGGCAAGGATCTAGAAGACATGCTGATCCTCATCAAGGTCAGCAGCAAAGCAGGGGAACACCAACTGTGACAGGGCTGGGCAAACAGGGATTTGCACCTGGACTGAAGCTTTGATAGAAGCTTTGGGTATGCCTTGAGCTGACAGATTCCTTCCCCTACACCTGCCTTGCTGTGGGAAGGGAAGCAAGGGTCTTGCTTCCCTTGTGGTGGTGTTTCCTTCTGATACTTTACATATTATGACTAAGAGACTTTTGTATTTGGGGCTAGTCGTTAGCTAATACCATGAAAAATGAAGTTTGTCACACCCTGTAATATGATCCTACCCATACCACACAGTTTGGAGAATTTGTCCCAGCTATAGCCACTAATTAGCATCTCTAATATCTGACTGTTCTAAGATGCATTTTGTCTGAAATTAGGTCGTTAGGATCTTCTCATCCACCAGTATTTGTGTCGTCTTCCCATTTTACAGAAAGAAATAGTTACTTCACAATAGTTAAACATCACATTTCAGTCTCCTACTGAAGACATGTTTCGTTTCACTCTCCATGGTGACTTAACAGGACGAAAGCTTCAGCTAACAGAGTGATAGGTGCTGAGATGCAGTCCCTTAGGAATTGTCCTTCAGGAGAATTGTTGATTCTCAGCAGCAGAGAGCCGCAGGTATTCCCAAGGGCTGTGCTTCCATACTGAGTTGTGCTTGTTTGACACGCACAACTCCTTTGGAAACGCTGTGGGAGCCAGTTGGAAGGCTGTTTGTTCTCTATGGCTGGGAATTCTGCTCCTACAGGTTGAGGGGGCTTCCATGCAGACTGGGAACTCTGAGGGAACACTTCTGGTGTCTTGCTGAGCTCCTCCAACAGAGAGGTTGAGCTGTACCAGGAAGAACTTAATGGCTGTTGGTACCTGCAAAACCTGCCTTTAAGTGTCTTGATTCTATGACAGACACAGCTGTCTTGGGTTTGTGCTTTTAAAAAGAGATGTGAAGGTCCTTCAGAATAAAAAGTGCTGAGGAATGGTCAAATCATTGATTCATCCTAAGAGACTGATCTCTTCTACTACCCCTTAGGTAAAAGGGAAGTGCACCACTGACCATATTTCTGCTGCTGGGCCGTGGCTGAAATTCCGTGGCCACCTGGACAACATCTCCAACAACCTGCTCATTGGCGCCATCAACATTGAAAATGGCAAAGCCAACTCCGTGCGGAACGCCTTAACCCAGGAGTTTGGGCCGGTCCCGGACACAGCCCGTTACTACAAGGTGAGGCTGTCTCCTGGAGCATCTATTTTGGGAGGGTGTTTGTACTTTGTGCTCTGTGCCAAGACTGAGGATCTCACCCTCCTGCTCAAGTAACAGCAGCTGTGAATTCATTCAGCACTGAGCCTTTTCCTTGGGACGTACTTTGTGGCAGTTTATAGGGGATTCTGTCCCTGCCTGCTGCGGGGCAGAGGATATTGTGACCAAAGGGGACCAGTAACCCTAGGTGAAGGGAGCAGAACACCTCTAGATACTGCACAACTTGCAAGGCACTGGTGTCACCAGGCTGTGTCTAAATCTCACTTCCTTATCTGAGCAGATGGACCTCAGTTACTGTGTGAAGCTAAAGAATTCACCTACGGCTAGTCTAGATTCTATTCTTGTCCCCTTTGTTCTTTAAAGCTTGGGCTGGAACACCAAGAAATGTCCTTTCACTCTCAGAACAGCTTGGCAGCGGTCTCAGATTGGTTCTTCTGGTAGACAGAAGTTAGAGTTTCCTCTCTGACTTCCAGAAGTAGAGCAGGGATCGTGGCGGTGTGAATGCTGACCTGGCACAAGACCATAGAAGGAAAGGTGGCAGCAAGGATTTGCTCTGGAGCCCAAGAGCAATCCTCTTCAGCCAGTGTTAGCCAGAACAGCGCTACCGAGCTGCTCTGAAGCACTTAGTTCCTCCAGTTCTCTCCTTCCTTAAAACCAAGGGGAGCCTCGTGGCAGAACATATCATAGCGCAGCAACGTCAGCAGTGTTGCTTTGACATCAGATGTGTTGGGGTTGTGTTCATTAATTCCTCACCTGAGTGGCTGCAGAAGTCTCAATCTTCTTCTTTTGTCACAGAAAATGGGTGTCAAATGGGCAGTTATTGGAGATGAAAATTACGGTGAGGGATCAAGCCGGGAGCACGCAGCGTTGGAACCTCGTCACTTGGGGGGCAGGGTCATCATCACCAAGAGCTTTGCCAGGATCCACGGTGAGCTGCGCTTCCCCCGCGGTGTGCATAAACAGGATGTGTTTGGCGGGGCGGCAGGGATGTTCACCTTGCCCCGGGGCTCAACGCCTACGGGAAGGAACTATCTGCTGACAGATCTCGTGGTCACTCTTGTCAGGAATCCTGTTAGATACCCACTTAGATATGCCACAAACAGCGGGTACACTGATTTTCTTACAAAGGTTGTAATTACTGTTGGAATACTGCTCAGAGGAGCACTGAGCAGCTGGGAAGTAATCCTCATCCCTGCAGCAAGTTGTTACGAGTACACCTGACCGTTTGTTCTCTGCAGAAACCAACCTGAAGAAGCAAGGCCTGCTGCCTCTCACTTTCGCGGATCCGGCGGACTACAACAAGATTCATCCTGTGGACAAGCTGAGCATCGTGGGGCTGGCAGACTTTGCTCCTGGAAAGGTAAGTGCCTCCACCTCTCGTCACGGCTCTCAGGGTCAGGGACGTGCCCATGGCAGGGAGCAGTGTGGTTGTGTGCGAGGGCCTGGAGCAGCACTGATGGGTTGTGTGGCCTGGAAGCCAGAGGAGATGCTCCATACAGTGGCCTGGGGTCAGAACCAGATCATGTTGTTCTGTTTGGGGAAGTCATTGTACAATATTCTGAATCCTTGGGCTTGCTACCTAAGGCAGGAGCGCTCCCTAGAAGGAACTGCAACCACACTTCTCTCTTAAGACCACCCCTGAGCTACCAGTTTGTTTTCAGCCCTTTAAAAACATGTGGGGATTTTCCTGTGAGAAGTTTCGGTTAACTTGCTCCCTTGAAAAAGAAGGGGGAAAATAAAAGCTGTCTTCTTCCCTTAGCCTCTGAAATGCATCATCAAGCACCCCAACGGGAGCCAAGAAACAATCATGTTGAACCACACCTTCAACGAGTCACAGATCGAGTGGTTTCAAGCTGGCAGTGCCCTGAACAGAATGAAGGAGCTGCAGCAGAAATCAAGCTAAGTGCGCACAATGCCCCCAGTGCACTGGACTCGATTCAGCTTTGGCATTTTTCATGAAAGTGCAATTCCATGCCTACTGTTGGAATAAATGTCTGATCAAATGTAACCATAGCTTCCTTTTTGTTATGGTACTTCCTCTTCACTGACACTATGAAAAGGGAGTGCAACCAGGCTTACTTTTGTCTTTTAAATTCCCCAGCTCCCTTTTTCTATTTTGGCTCAATTTCAGTTGTCCCACAGTTATTTATACTTGGAAATAACCAGCTAAAGTGGGTTTGTCTGCTCGGTTGGTTGTTTTCTGCCCATTCACTTTACTGATGGCTAAAGATTTAAAATGGAAATAAAGACTGTGACCATCTCTTCTGCCTCGTGTGATTGTCTTCATAATCCGGTTCTTCAGCTCCTGCTTTCCCCCTCACTGTGGCTGAGAGGGTGGGAAAGAAGTTGAAGGTTCAATGCTACCTGCCCACTTTGTATTGTTATGCAAAGACCACATGGTTAAGGGGGAAAAAAAACATCTGCATGGGAGCCTCTGGCTGTTGAGGCGCTAACCTGCTTCACCCAAATTTCTACCTACAAACGGGTGGGGATTTTTTGCCAAGTTTGTTTCTAGCATGTCTAGCTGACTGCGTGTCTGAGCACTGCTGCACAGCCAGCACTCAGTAAGCTCATTGTCCCCGCAGCTGGACCTCAGTTACTATGTGAACCTAAAGAATCCTAGGCTCCCTTTTAATTAGAGCAGTGCACCAGGAATAACAGTTCCGAATTAAGGGGTTATAACTGCGCTGCTGGGAGGGCGCTGGTGACTCAGGCTTTGTTTTCGCAGTTGGAGGTTAGCAGAGCCACTATCCCAGGGAATTACAGCCCCTTCCTGCCAAACGTGGCTGGCTTTGTAATTATGTGCACCATCACCCGCTTGGCACCAGGCCCTGCATAGATTTTACTCCCTGTTTTGTTCCCCTCTTTCCTTTCATTGCTGTCAGAGAGGCTGATGGCAATTGTTTGTTACTGGCTGTTAGAGCGGAGCAAAGCATTAGTCCTGACACTCAACGCGGTCTGCCTTGAAATCCAAGTAGCTGGACTGCAGGAGGCAACTTTTTTCCCTTCCTGCTAGGCAGGAAGCGAACAGTTTCTCCAGGAATTGTAGAGGAAGGCAGGCTGTGGGGTTTTTACTATTTATTCCATTTCTGGTATTAACCCACTCCCACAAACACATTTAACTTGCTTCAAGTAACACTGGTCCATTTCAGTTCATAATTACGCATTTTCAAACTCCAGCACGGTTGAACCCCTCCTACACAAATACAGCCCTCCTGGTACAGTATTTCCCGTCACCACAAGCAGCCTGCAGCTTTCTGCAGTGGTCCTCTTCATAAAGCCCGAGTTGCTTTGGGGTAAACTGATCTCATTCCAGTTCTCTTTGGCGGACCCATGCATTGAGTTCCCACTCAGCAGAATGATACCACAACTTCCCCTCTCCCCCAGCAGCAGCACTTTCCAGCCTCCACAGCAGCACACCTCTCAGCGCCAGTCTTTTGGGGTTTCTCCTCCAGCTCCTGTGAAAAGGGCAGGATTCTGCCCCTCTGGGATCAAGCTGTCAGCCCGAGGAAGCGATGCTTCTAGACAAGCATTCTCTCCCGCTTTCACTCACTGACGTCCAACTCCCTTCATAGCTCAGGCGAGTAAAGACCTCCCCAGTTTTCCCTCCAGGGCAGGAGACCAAAGCCCCAGCTGGGCTCAGGCCTTTTTGTCCCTGTAAATTCATTTCTCCCGCTCAGTGAAGGCGTTTCTTGAAAGCGACTGTCTTGATCTGGCGGGCTGGAAGCTGACGGGGAAGCAGAGGATGGCAGCTCTGGTTTCTCGATCAGCTTCCCAGGAGCAGCAGCAGGATCCCGTAACCCCCAAATCCCCAGCGGGAAGCCTCGCTGCAGAGCAGGCTGGCTGCAGCTAGCTGTTCGTCCACCACGACAGGAGGCCCAGGCCCGGCTCGCTGATGGACCCCTGGTCACACAGAGCAGAAGAGAGTGAGTGATTGGAAACTGCACAGGGAATACAGGAGAAATGCATAAAAATACAAAATGTCCCCCCCGTGAGCTACAGAAGAGGTATTCCCCTTCTCACTGTCAGAGCCCAGCCCTGCAAATGCCCAAATTTCTTTAATCCTCATCAATGCTACACCAAACCTGCAGCACCTGCAGAATCAAGCACTTCCCTGTTCCATCTCCTGGCTGTGCCCCAACATACCCCAACCGTGAGAAAACACAGCTCGCACTGGCCTCCACCCACCTCTCCACTGCGCTGTACTCAGGGAGGTCTGACACCAGAGCACGGCCTGGGAAGGGCCGCTCAGCTGCTGTGCAAACCTTGGTGTGGTTTTCCCAGCCCTGGGTCCCTGCGTGCTCAGCCCTACCTGCAGGGCTGGCACCTACACTCCGACCTAACTCAGCCTCCCCGACGGGAGCTCCACCACCAAGCACAGTGGTTCAGTGAAAGCTCACTGCAAGCACAGAGCGACCGCAAGAACGATCTCCTTCCTCCCCTTTCCCACTCCTTTGATTTTGTGACTTTCTTTGCTTCGTGGTCAGCTTAACACCATCAGTTCCTTGGGAAAGGGATGCTATTTTAGCCCTAGAACAAACCACACTGTTTCCACGGCTCTACAAATTATGCACATTGTTACCACAAGAGTGTAGGGTGCCTCCTTCTTCTGCACTTCTTCTGTGGCGCTTGAGGTGGAAGCCTCTGCAGAGCTCGGACCTGTGGGAGATGTATCGACGAACGTCTCATCCACAACTCGGAAGCGGATCTCCTCCCCGATGTCCATGTAAAGGTCGTGGGCCCCTTCTTCGGTCTCATATTCCCACACCCACACCTGCTCTGCCTCGTCGCTGGCCACGCCAAGGGCTAAGGATGGGAACGATTTCCCCTGGCAGAACACTTCCTTACAGTTCTGAGAATCCTCTCGATTCAAAGCCTTTCCACAATCCCTTCTCGAGCTTCAGCGCACTGTCCTAGGTCACCCCCTGCACATTCTAGGGCCTCACCTCTGATTTTCCTGCACACAGCTGGGGTTTTCCTCCCCGCCCCCAAAACAAACAAACAAACCCCAGGAAGACACTGCCTACCACAGGCAAGGACATCAGACACGCCATGTACCTAGACACTGCACCATGTGGGAAAACCTGTGCCCTGTCTTCAGCAGCAGCCAAGAGCCGAGGCAGGGATTATAGCGCGGCTGTTTGTGGGATGCTGCTGTTCATTCCTATCAGCTGGCACAGTGATCCCACAGACCCTAATAGGCGTGAGGCCTGTCTGGCTGTGATAACAGCCTGCGGGACTTGCCCGACACAGCAGCCCAGCCTCTGCCACTGAGCACCTGCATTGTTGCGGCAGTGAATGGCTGCTGGGCCAGCGCTGCACAATCTTTTGAGGTGAAGCAGTGAAGTTAGCTGGGTGATCAAAGGATACAACTTAGCTGGCTGCTGCAGGGATTCCGGTGGGATGATAATATCATCAAAGAACCCAATAGAAACTGTGGGGAAAAGAATCTGATTAAGACTGAAATGACTCTTTGCAACAACGTAGTACTGCAGTAATTCCTACAATGCATTTCTAGACTTATTCTCTCCTGGGAAGGACAGCTGAGATTATGCAGGAATTATTCTTCGAGTCACAATGCTCCATTTCAGTTGGCAGCGAAGCAACCGCCCAGCTGAAGCACATGCAGCAACAGAGGGCACGGTCTGCCTGCCCGCTGGGAAAGAAAAAGGCTGCCTGGAGCAGGGCTGGAAGTGTCAGGGTTCCAAGAAATGAGTCAGATGCTACAGAGGTCCCTGAAAGAAAAGAGCTCAAAAATCAGAGAAGTAACACGTCAAATGAAGACCAAAGGAAAGTCAGATCAATTCCACCTCCCCTGTTAGATTTCATGATGTTGAGGTTTATCAGAGACCGGACCTGCCCAAATTCAGCAATAAATGTACCCACGATAATCTCTTTGCCCTGACTTAACAAATGAGCACAGAGAGGAGCTTGCATGGAAAACTCCCACAATAACAGAAGGCAACTCATCAACTGAGCACTTCATACAGTACACAGTTGATCATCTGTCTTAGAAAGATGTTTCCTTGCTGTGTTTTCAGATACAGGAAATACTCGTCAGTTTTCATGGAACTATACGGAAGGCATTTCAGACCAACACGATCCGATACTACCACCTTAAAAAAAATGTTGTTAATTGAAGCGAGAAAATAAATCCAGTCTAGCTCCAGATGGGCCTGCCTATTCTTGGGCACGCACACGAGTGACAAAAGGGAAGGGGAGCTGCAGGCAGAACCATCAGGCGCAGGGGAAGCTGCCAGGCTCAGCCTACCAAGCACCCTCCGACGGGAGCAGCACCAGAGGCTGCTCATGTCTTCGTCCAGCCTACACAGAGCACTACGCTGCCTGAAATCATCGCAGCTCCAGGTGCTCTGCAGCTCTTCCGTCCCTAACGTTCCGAGTTGCAGCTCACCGTGAACGCCATCCTGACTGCAGCTTTTAATCTCCCCGATCAGGATCTCATCCAGGAAGGGATGGAAGACCACGTAGCGGAAATGCACTTGAAAGAAAACAGATCGGTAACGTTACGACCACGTGAGCGAACCGTTCTCCTTCCACAGGGTGGCAGCCATTAGAGCAAAATCCCACATCCTACATGCCCTCTAAAACACTGCATCAAGCATCTTTTACACCTTCCTTACAGGTACCAGTTTGTTCAGGAAAACAGGAATCAGAGCTCTGATTTGTACAAATTATGACAGCAGTTGATCATCAGTTTCTTGTTCTCCACTTTTCAAGCTTGCAAGAATTTAATTTCACAGAATAAAACTATAAAATAATGGATGTGGAGCAGGACTCTGCTTTAGTTATGATGTTAGCGTTCTTAGGAGGCCAAGAATATCAGCTGAAATGATACTTCTTGTACTACCTCTGCTCCATTTATCTTTGTCAGCAAAGATATATCTTCTTCCAATTAAATTATGTGGTACACAGTATTATCAAAGTCAATCAGATTCTCTAACAATCTTATTTAACCTCAGTGAAAAATCCAGTTATGGTTCTAACCAAGTATTTATAATTACAAGGAAGCTATACTAAGACAAAGAAGAAAACTTAAGAGCTATTTAACATCATTTTAGCTGTCCATGCTCACTGCCTCTCTTCTACATAAAAGTAGAAAAAGGGTAATAAATCCTGCTGCCTGGTAATAATAAAGGCTATCTCAGCTTCTGAAAGCAGGAGACTTCTTTGCAAACTCGCAGAGAACATATTATCCTGTTTCAGTTCAAGGAGTATTTCAAAGTTAAGAAAGTGAACGGAGATTAAAGCAAGCAGGAGAGTCTGCCATCCTCCTCAGTGTTCAAGAAGCTTTTATTTGTAGGGAGTGAGTTCTGCTGGCATTAAATTTACATGAGGGAAGCCACACACCATCAGTCCAGTTCCCTTCTAAAAAGAAACACTTCATTTACTCAAGCAATACTTCCACACTGAAAACTAGATCTAGAAAAATGCATCTTTCTATTTTATTTAAAGAAACAAACTTTAAAAACTTTAATTATTTTTTTTATGCATTTGCTTCCATTTTCCGTTCAGATTTGCTGAAAGACGGAAGTAAAGAGATGAATCATTTATTATTACCAAAAAAAAGTCACCTAAAATGTATGCTGAACCAGATCTGTCTAAGTCTCAAACAAAAAAGCAGTAAAACTTCCAGCTAGAAAAACAGCATCAACTGTTGTGTGGATGCTATAATTAGAAACACGTTTCAAAATTCTGGACAGGCAAAATAAGCTTCAAAAAGACAAAATATTTGACAAAAGTAGAACGATTAATATAAATTATTTTCTATTTGGAGATCTCCAATCATATAAAATTAAATTAACCCCTTCTTTATCCAACACCTATGGCTCTAATTGCAGAGCAGACATGGACTGCAGGAGAAGGCAGGCAGGACTGGCTCTTGAAATCTGTATTTGTAACCAAAGAAAGGCAAAGAGACTTCTGCCATGTTCCTCTTGCCCTCCTAGTAGGAACAGAGTTAAGACTGAACTTCAGTAAGCTCCTTTAAACTTAATTTATCTAACAAGAGAATTTTGTTTTCACTTGGGACAAGAGCATACCTTTGGTGTGTGATGCCCCGTCTCCAGGGAATATGTATGAATCTTCCAGTTTTGTAATATCGTACAAACAGATGCAAAGACCAACATTGTATACAACCTGTTCAAAGAAAAAAATATTAAAAAAGCAATAAATCAGTTACCAGGTAAACTCCCTTCAAGCTTATACACTGCATTCATCTCTTCAAAAGAAGGCAGAAAAGGGTGGCAAGGTGGGAGGGAGGCTGGTTTAATACAATCCTTCAAAAGCCCCAGCCCAAACCATGCTGCATTTCAGAGGATCCCCTATCTCCTTTGAGTGTTATAAAAACGTGTTTTTATCGGCACTGGAAAAAGCACTGCTACAAACAGAAACCCTTGGCATTTTTCAGTGTTTTTTTTTTTTTCAGTGGTTAAAAAACTTGACGTGCCATGAGAGTAAACAATTGCCCACAGGAAAGAAAAGACATCATTCAGCAGCCCCAGTGCTTGTCCAAAGGCCAAACATGGCCTTTCTAGGGTTGTGTTCTCAAAGGCCTCTAGACTTCCCTTTGTCTTAAATTATAATGGCTCTGGGGAGAAAGGAGAGCTCCTGGTTTCTCTGCCACTTCTAACACGGCTTCATAGCCTACATTTGGGACACCTACTAGTCATCAGCAGATGAAAGAGTTATTTCATAACCTGCCCCTGTGATCTGCCACCCTCAACCCTAGATCGCTTGGGGCTGCTCTTTGGCGCTCCCTGCACACTGACAAGCTGCATTTTGACATCTGCACCTGCCTCATGCTGAAAGCTGCACGCTAACCACAGTCCCACGGGCCACACGGGGAAAGGGCGAGCTCCTGGCCCATGACACAACGCTTCTTACAGCCTGTGCCAAACGCCAAGATCCTGCCTCCACTCTGTGCTCAGCACCGAGCCAGTCACATACCAGCACTATCACTTCTCTTCCAGTATTAACGTTCTGAATTTATTTACACTGGCTTTCTTAATTGCCCCAAGATGGGTTTGTGTTTGTTTTTCAGGCTGTGTTTCATACTGTTACCCTACACACAAGACGGCGGTGACTCCTCTATGATGCTCTGCCCTGTCTGCTGACTCGGTATCTTCCCCTTCCAGCACGAGGCCTTCGAGCAGCAGCCCCCTTTGAGGTGATACCTGGCTGTCTCTGGTCCCGGTGTCTTTTATTTCAGTCTGTGGGGACGGCCTTCATACCAAAGCTTTTATGATAGTGCACGTGTAGAAATAAAAATGCAGAAAAAAAAAGCTCAGTTGTTAGAGGGATGCCACGAAGCCTACACCACGCTGCAGATTACCTTGTTGGCCAATTTCTTGTTTAGCTCTTCAGCAATGGACTCGTTCAGCTGCCTTTCAAACTGCCAGGGGGGGATCCTCACCGTGTCAGTCATCTCCACCAGCACAAACATGGTGGCCGGCGGGCAGCGCCCCTGAGGGAACACGGGGCGACAGCCCGGCCTCGCCGGGACCACGCGAGGAACAGGGGCGGCACCTCAGGAGCTCAGGGGGGAGAAGGAAGGGAAGGAGGGGACGGAGGAGGGGACGGAGGCGGCCACACAGCGACCATGGGGAGCAGCCCCGCTCCGCCTCACAGCCGCCCGCCGCAGCGCTTCTGAGGCGATTCCCTACCGGAGCCAATCAACGCTCACTGAGCTCTGATTGACGCGGGGAACAGCCAATCGCGCGGCGAGAAGCGGGGAGCCCCGCCCCCGGCCCGCCTGGAGCGGCGGCCATTTTGTGCCCCCCTCAGGGCGGCCGTTAGCGGCCGTTGGGCGCCGTTAGCGGGCGTCGCGGCGGTGGCCCCTCAGCGGGTACCACACGGAGCCCTCCGCCTCTGGGCAGCCGCACGCCCTGCAGCTGTGGAAAATGAGGGGCAGTGCCCGCCTCTGAGACATGAAAGGAGGCTGCTCAAAGTATTTTTTATTTATTTATGTATTTACTTAATAGGCTGGCAAGGCGAAGCGAGCGAGGCTGCGCCTGACAAGGGAGAAGTGCCCTGTCAGCACGCAGGCTTTGATGGCGCCACGACGCGTGTCAGCCCCCGCGCCCCCCAGCAGTGCGGAGCGGGGCAGTAATGAGCGTTGGGGAGAAGATCCTTGTGAAATGTTATGAGCGGGAAGGGGAAAATGAGGGTGTGATGTTGCATCTAGGCCTTATTAACGAGACGCCTGTCTCAGCTGAGGAGTTTCTGGTCTCTCTGCAGTTATTGCTGCCTCACAAGGACGTTAAAGGTTTTATTGTTAAATGGCCGGTCTGCGTATGGGGTGTCAGGACACCTCAACCCAGATCTGCGGCGCCTCGCTCTGCTCGGCCTCCTTCAGGAGCTGCACAAAGGCTCCTTTCTCCTGTGCTGTGGTGGCAGCTGAGCACGGCACAGTTTCTCTGGCACACGTGCCGCATCCCTTGCTGTTCCGTGCTGGCCCCACACAGGGCAGTCGGTGCTAGGTTTGACCTTTGGCCGAAGTGCAGTTTTTGCAAGTGTCTGCAGCTACGTCTTCAGAACAGAGATCAGGTCCTGAGCATGCCCCTCAACTGACAGCAGGGTAAGAAATAGCCTTGGGATCACAGCAGGAGGCAGAAGTTAGATAATGTGTTGTTATTGGCAAGGTGATCCCCCTGGATGATTTTCTATGTAAGAGCTATAAGGTTAAATAGGGGCAAGGCTTCAGGGGAATAGCAGCGTGAATTCCTGGGAGAACATGGGAGACTAAATGGGGTGGATTAGGACAAAGCCATATCCTACCTGCATTTCTAAGCCACCCTTCAGCTAACGTTTTTCATGTCTCCATCAGCCATGCCCTGTCAGGGTCTGATGGGTGCCCCATACAAAGCAAATGCGTTTCCCTTCAGCCTGATCCACAGCCCCGAATCCAAGCTGTGTGAGCTGTAGGTCCGTGAGGCCTCCCTTCCTGCTGGTGTGTCTCGTGCTTAGCTCCTTGGTGTCTCCTCAAGTGAGACATCCCGTCTAGGGCTGGGATGAGCATGATCCCTCCTGTATCAGCTCTCTGATTGCAAACAAGGGCTGGGCTCTGCAGGCTGTTCCTCCACAAGGGCAACAGGATCCCTCTCTACACCATTACGTATTTTGGTGATTAGGTGTTATTTTCGATACTGCAGGTATTATTTTTGATACTGCTCTGGGGAAACAAATGTGTGGAGAGAAAGCTGGCGGCGGCGCAGTCAGAGCTGCATTGCCTTAGGACACCAGGCTACAACACCACCAGAGCTGAGCCTATCTGGCGGTTTCTCGGCCTCCACCAGCAAAGTCAAACACCGCAGGAAATGCCTTCAGCTCCGCAGGTAACCTCTCTGACCCCACACCAGTGCACGCCCGGGGCTTTGCTCACATGACGGATGTTGGGCTGCTACCGGCTAGGTTTCTCCTCAGAGGAATTCTGTATTTCCAGCAGCCCTTGTCATAAACACTGTCTCTGATGCAAAAGTACAAACCAAAGCCAAACTTTGCCCCATAACACATCGGTGTTGTCTCAACTCCGTTGCAGGTAGCACTCAGCAGCACACTGGATCTCACGCTGCAGCTGAGGTGCCCTGGTGTTGGAGGTGGTGTGAACAGCCCCGTCCTGCTGAGGGGTTTCTTTCTGTCCGAGTAGCACTGACACGAGAAATGGCCACGACCCCACAGGGCCCGCTCACACGTTTCTGTACAGAGCTGTGAAGTCTCCAGGGCCTCTCAGCAGGGCCGAGCCCCTGTGCTGGGGCTTTTCCAACATCTGGGAGCAGGGATCCCAGTGGCCGTTTTTTGAAGCCTCAGCTGCTTGAATCGAGAGATCACAGAAGGATCTTTCTGCTGCTTAGGGAAAACCCTAGGCATTTCTTATCCTCACCACTGTAGAGGAAGACTTGAAAACACAATCTGAAGTTACCTGAAGGCTCAGAAACTGGGAGGAAAGCTCAAGGAACCCCCAGATTATTTTGCTTACGCTCTCCTCTGCCTCCACGTTCCCAGGGCTTTGGGGGAAAACTGGCTCAGGGACGCTGGAGGGGGTGAGCAGCAATTTGCATCGAGGCTGTTTCGGCCTGGCTTTGATTGACTCCAAAGGAATTACGCATCCTCTCACGTACAAAGACCTCAGCACTCCTGCCTTTGCTTCTGTCTCCGCAGGCGTCTCCAGCACCCCCACTCCGTGATCAAAGCTTCCCCTCGTCTCCTTTTATCACTGTGACATGCTCGAGACTTCCTGCCTCCGCCGCTGCAGCGCATGCCCAGAGCCACCTGCCAGCCCAGCGCACCTCCAGCTCCCCGCAGGAGCCCCTGGGGACTCCACGGGGGGGTCAGGCTGACGCACGCAGCTGGGCACACAGCTAGCCCCGGTGTACAAATAGGGCGGGGAAGACGAGGCATTTATGATACTCGCTGTGCAAATACAAAAGAAACACCAGGGGAAGAAGAGGGCAAGCCCATGTGCACATCCCCAGCACTCCTCCAGCCTCCAGCTGCTTCCAGCTCCACGCCCTCCGGGGCTGGTTGTGTCTGGGAGGTAGAGCTGCCCCAGGAGAGGAGCTCAGGAGGAACCCAGACCAGAGGCTGAAGCAGGTGGCTGTGTTTCTCCTCCACTTCTTTTGTAGGGTTTTGAGGGCAGACTGGGCAGGCGAGCCTTGTGGCATCCATAGGCGGTGAATGGGACTCGTGTTTTGTCATGGAAAGCTGCCTGAAAAGCCCCAGCCAGAGTGTGATGGGCAGTGGTGGAACCCACAGACGCCACCTTCCTGTTTCAAAACGAGGCCGATAGCACCCCAAATCCCCAACGGACACCTGCCCAGCCTGGTTTTAAAAATCTCTAGTGATGGAGACTCCAGTGCTTCCCCAGGCAATCTATCTGAGTAATTAACTGTCTGCTCCGTTAGAAAGCGTTTCCTAATGCCTAGCATCAATCTTGCTCCTTGCGATTTAAGCCCCATTACTCCCTGCCCTATCCCCAGCGGACACGGCGAACAATTGATTCCCGTCCCCGCTGCAGCCAGCGGTCGCACCGCGCCGTGCCCCCAGGGGAGAAAGTCTCGGGCCGATTCGTTGCGCCGCCTCTGCCTGCAGAGATAACCCTCTGAGGCACAGCCCTGTAGGTACAGGGCAGAAGGGAAAGAAAGGATCTTTCGGTCCGGGGGGGCTCGCTGTCTGGTGACACTAGGGATGCGACGCTTTGAAGGCAGAAATGCCCGCAGCACGACTCGGGGAGATGTGGGGAGAGGCTCGACCCCTCTCTGGGGCCTCCTGTCCCCCATCGCCTTGTCCCTGCAGCCTGTGGGGCTGCCCCATGGCCATGTGCGGCCGTGCCACCGCCGTGGGCACGTGTCGGGAGGCACGGGTGGCGTGATGCTGGCCCTCCATGCTGACCCCCGGCCCCTCCGGCCCCCCTGCGGCCTCTCCGCTGAGCCTGGCGCGGGGCTGCCCGGCCTGATCCCTCCCACCTGCCCGCTCCCCCTGGCCTGGCCCTGACGTCAGGGAAGGCGTGCGGATGCGTGTGTGCGGGCTGCACATCATCCGCACATCAGGCACCGCGGAGACGTCGGGAGGCAGCCGGCAGGCAGCCAGCCGGCGAGAGAAAAGCCCCTGGAGCCGGGCTACATGCGAGAGCGCTGCTCATCGCCGGGCAGCCGAGGAGCGCTCGCTCGTCCCCGCCGAGCGCTGATGCGCTGCACGCCCCGGCTGCAGGGAGCCCCGGATTGCTGAGGAGGTAAGGGCAGGCACGACGGCCGCCCGGCTCGCCCAGGCTGTGGGAGCCGGAGGTTGAACTTCCCGCACGGTGTTTGCTTTCCAGGCTGCTTTGTTTTGTTTCGTGTCGCTCTTTGCTTTCTCTCCTTAGGTGGCGGATAAAGGTGCGAGGGTGAAGTGCCGCTTCCCTCCCTGCTCCGTGTTGTTTATTCCCCACCAGCCTCCGAGACAATAACTCCGCCGGGGGTGGCAGCGCTGCGTGGCCGCTGCTGCCGGGGGCAAAGAGCCGGGGCTTTGCCACGCAGGGCTGGGATCAGCTGGGGGCAGCTCTCCCTTTGGGAGAGTGGGGGGGAAGCGGCGGGCGAAAAGCTGTCTTATTAAAGCGGGCTGCTGCCGGTGGGGGCTTGAATGGGTGCTTCTGTGGGGCTGGCTGCACTATTCATTCCTGCAGACAGCAAGTTAGAGCCACAAAGGAGGGAGGAAGGATGCGGATGAGGACATTTGCATGAGGTCTTTGAACAGACCCTGCTCTCATCTGAAAATCGGCCAAGCCACAAACGACCAAATCCCCCAAACGTGGTCTTTGGGAGCGATGATTATGCATGTATGCCTCAAAGGTAACCCAAGCCTCCATGATGGCTTCTCCTCTGGCTTCCCCTTGGCTTCCAGCAGCCGCCTTGCTCTCCCCGTGGCCTCCCCAAGAACCCGGCTGCAGAGCACCGACTGAGGGAGCTTTTTATAAGCAATCCGGAAAGGTGACATTCATATTTTAGCGCTAACCAGGCTGTATCGTAGGCGAGACTTATCTCAGCAAAGATCCCCGGAGTTGGGAGTGTGATTGGCTTAGATGGGGAGGGGAAGCTTTCCATGTGTATCCCCAGAAAATGCCTGGGCTCTTTTTCCTGTAGCAATCCATCTCGGCGGAGGGGATTTCAGCGTGCAGGGGACGTGAAGGAGATGGCTTGCCTTGTAATGTAGCTCGTAATGGCACGATCCGGTAACCAAAAAAGAAGGGAGGGGGCAGCGAGGCTTTCATTAGCATCGGGCAGAGACGGCGTTTATAAAAACCTGCGAGACGCCGGGGCTGCCATCCTCCTCTGAGGACGGGAGGATGGCTAACCGGAGCGCTCACCTCTGTCCGTAGGCAGCCTGCTGGCTCCTGCCCCTCACTGCAGCCCCCGGGAGAAGCCCTTGCCGGGTCCTCGGAGTTCTCCAGCGCGTGAATTAAGCCCCAAAGCGAAAACCTGGCATTTTGTGTTGGTGGAGCACCTGGGAGGCAGCTCCCCCGGGGTGGTGGCAGGCCGGAAAATCGCGTCGGCCACCGGGTGCCCTGGCAGGAGCGGGGAGGTGGCTGCGAGCAGCCAGCTGCGGGGCCGGGCTTTCTTTCAGAAATGCGGGTTTTTGCTCTCGACAGGGGAGATGGACCTACAAACTCACCGGGTGCTGAACCAGAGGCATCAGCAGTCCCCGGGGATGGGGAAAACGTGGTAGGGAGAGGCAGGGAACAGCCTGCGTGAGGTGTCGCTGGGACATACGGGGGAGAAAATGACCCACATGGGCGGGGAGTGGGGATGGCAGGGGGACAGGGGCCAGGCGATGGCAGGGGGACACGCAGTGGCCCAGCCGGGTGGCAGAGGCATCACATCCCAGAGCCCGTCCGTCTGTCCCGCGGGTCCTGGTGAGGAGAAGGAGCACAAAGAGGAGCCGTGTGGGAGGGCCGACGGGCTGAGGGTGATTAAAGCAATTAAATCTGTATCGGGGGTGAGGCGGGGAGGGGGTTCTTCGCTGCTGCTAATGAACGGGGAGTGGCGAGGCCGGGGCCTCTTCAAAGGGCTCCTGCCCGGCTTCAGGGTGGGTGCGGAGTTAAATGGGGTCACGGGAGGGAGGGAGACAGTGACGAAGGGGGCCCTTGGGTCTGCAGATAAAAGCCGGTGTGTCTCCTGCCTGTCTGCTGTATGTGGCCTGGGGTCTGCGTGCTGGCACGGCTGGCAGCGCTGCCCGGAAACCTGCCCTTGGTGAAACCCGAAGGCAGCACAGGGGTACACGGAGCGCTGGCCTCCTGCAGTGCCCCCATTTCCTCCCTGTGTGGGGCAGGCGTGGGGAGGCTGTGCCCGTGTCCCCACTCCGCTTTTTGCCGTGCGTTTGGTTTCCTCCATCCCTTTGTTTGCTGCAGGGATTGGGATGGGGTGGGAGGCAGCCCCTGCGCGTGCTGCCAGCTGGCTCAGGGCACGGGGTGCGGGTTAAGGACCCGCCATTGTCCCTGAGCTGCTGGGGAAGCCGCAAGGACCCGGCAGCGATAACGCGCAGCAGGAGGCGGCCCCGGTGCCACGGGGGCTGGGAGGGCAGCGGGACAGCGGGGGCTCCTGCCTCGAGTGGGACCGCGGCGTGAAGGCCACTCCGTAGTGGGGCTCTGCAGGGCTCCCAGGGGCAGCGGAGCCGAGGCCGGCTGGGAAAGCAAACGGGGCGAGGGGAACGGGGGCCGCCCGCTCCCTCCCCAGCACGGCAGCTGCTCCACAAACCTTCTCCTGTGTCCTTGCCACCTGCTTATTTTGGAGCGGAGGTGACCCCATTCTGCACGGCCCCCCGAGGCTGCTGCGTCTCAGAAAGCAGAGCGAAACCTCACCGGCTTCCCCGGCGCGTGAAGTGCCCACAGGCGTAGTCCCAAATACACCCCGGTGGGGCTGGAGGGGTGGTGGGGATGGTGGTCACCCGTGGGGTGCCAGGGTGCCCAGCTCGGGGCGAGGGACACGGGTGAGCCCCGGGGCAGAGGCACCCGGCTTTGGGTTCCCTTCGCCCTTTCAGCAGCCGCCTGTAACCGCCCCCCCCCTCGCCCTCCAGGCCGCAGGCAGCAGCCCCTTCCCCGCCGCCGCCCGCCCGCAGGACGGAGGAGCCCCCCGCTCCCACCATGTCGTCGGAGCCCGGCGCCCCGCCGGCAGTGCCGCCCCTGCACTCGCCCAAGTCCCCGGTGTGGCCCACCTTCCCCTTCCAGCGCGAGGGCAGCCGCGTCTGGGAGCGGGGCAACCTCCTGCTGCGGGACCTGCCCAGCCCGCTGCCCACCAAGAGGACCAGGACCTACTCCGCGTAAGTACCGGGCGCGCGGTGCCTGCTCCCCCCGGGGAAGCCGTTCCTGTGCCGACCCACAGCCAGGAGCCGGCACCGAGGCGCCTCCGTCCCTTCCCTCCCGCAGCACAGCGCGAGCCTCCGCTGGGCCCGTCTTCAAGGGCGTCTGCAAGCAGTTCTCGCGCTCCCAGGGCCACGGGTTCATCACGCCGGAGAACGGCACAGAGGACATCTTCGTCCACGTGTCTGAGTGAGTCCGCGCAGTGCCGGGTTACCCCGGGGGTGCTCAGGGTACACCCACGGGCTGGGGCGGTGCTGTCTCCGTAGGTGATGCTCTGTCCCTGAAGGTGCAGCTGGGTTTTTCCCCCCTGGTGCAGGTCGCGGGTTGGGTGCCCTCCTCGGTGCTGGGGGGTCCGGGGATGGGGTCCAGCTCGCGGCCCCAGTCCCACCGCCTCCCCTCTCCTCTCCCGCAGCATCGAGGGGGAGTACGTCCCGGTGGAGGGGGACGAGGTGACGTACAAGGTGTGCCCCATCCCTCCCAAGAACCAGAAGTTCCAGGCGGTGGAGGTGGTGCTCACCAACCTGGCGCCCCACACGAAGCACGAGACGTGGTCCGGCCAGATCATCGGCTCCTAGGCGCCCGGGGGGGCCCCACGGCCGCTTGCAGGGGGCGCGGGGGGAGCCGAGCCGGCGGCGGGGCCGGGGCCGCCCCCCAGCACGCAGGCGTCTGCGTTCGGTGTCTTTTCTAAGGTTAGGGTTTCCTTTCTCTTTGTGTGTTTGTAGCTGTCTTTCGAAGGGGACGGGGAAAGCGGAGCCCTCCCTGCAGCCCCCCCAGCTCCGGGGGCAGCCCCGAGCCCCACATCCCCGTCCTTACAGCGTGTCACTGTGCTGGGAAGGGGCGGCCGAGCCCCTTCTTGACCCCGTTCCCCTCACTGGGCTTCAGCTATGCGGCTCCTTCGGGAGAAGGGCCACCCGATCCCACCCCAGTTTTCCGGTGTGTGTTTCTGTCACTGCCAGCTCGGGCCGTGGAGAAGGGGGTGTCGGGAGAAGCGGGCTCTGCCCCAACACAGGGCTGGGGGTGAGCACTGGTTTGGTTTCCTTTCCCCTCCCTGGTGCCCCAGCTTTGGGGGCCGGGTGTGCAGGGCCAGCGGGATGCAGCCAAGGAGAGCATCACCAGGCAGCACCGTGCTGCCCCGAAACGGCGACACGGTGGGTCCCGGCTGAACCCCCCCTCCCCAGTTAAACCTTTGTTCAGTCAAGCCACTTCAATACTATAGTTTAAAAGAAAAAAGGGTGGCTTAACGGAAGAAAAAAGGAGTTTTAAGGGACAAACGCCCGCTGGCAGGGCCCCGTGGTGCTCAGCGCTGTCTTTCCTGTGTGCCACGGAGGGGCCGGCGACGCACTGCCCTCGGGCCGGAGCTGGCTCTGGGGAGACGGCTTCCTCCTCCTCCCCCTCCCCGTGTCACCCCAACCCTGCGGGGACCCCCATCGTCCCGTGTGTGCCTGTGTGTGTGTGTGTGTGTGTGGGCGTCCGTAGCTTGCCGTGGGGCTGAAGGGTTTTTAGGTGGCCACGGGGCGAACACGGGCGCGCCTTCATCTGGGCACGCCCTGCGCCAGCGCCTCGGTGTAGACAGGGTCTGGTACATAAAGCACAAACCCCTTGTGGTCCCTGGCCAGGTGGGCTGCTGCTGCCCGGGGGGAACAAGCACCGGGGGCTGCAGGACCCGGCTGCGCTGGCCACGACAAACTCTTTGATTATTTTTATTATTATTCTTTTTTTTTTTTTTTTTTTTTCCCCTCCAAAATAAACGACAACCCTAGACTCGTTGGTGTTTTTACAACTCTGGTGTGGTTCCCGCCTGTCTGACCTTGTGTCAACCTTTGTAACATTGGCAATAAACCATTAAAAGTGACTTTCCCTTGAGCCCTGCTGGTCCTGCCTCTTTGTGTGAGTGTGCGGGGTGGGGCAGGGGACCTGGGGTGCAGGGCTTTCCCCAGCAGGCTCACCGCACCCCCAGCCCGCGTCTCACCCCAAATTCCCTTCCTGCACCTCACCTGCACCCGCACACAGCGCGAGGGCACAGCAGAGTCCATGCAAAGCACACGCTCCGACAGCTGCACATTGTGGCTTTAATAGGATTGATTTATATATATATATCTATGTATTTAATTAAATTATTCCTCATTTAACAGTTGGTACCAGTCAGACAGGAGCCACCCTCCTCACGCAGACACAGAACCGTACGGCAGCACAGCCCCCGCCACGGGACCCACCACATCCACTCGCTCACACACACAGGTGGGAGAAACCCCACGGGGTCACGCTATGGGACAGGCGTGTGGGGGCACCTCGCTGCCTCTGGGAAACCCCAAATAGCCCAGCCAGAGCTGTAGCAAGACAAGCAGGTCGCCCCCCTCGCTCACAGCGTGATGGCCCCGAGGTGTCTCCACAAAGAGGTCGCCTCAGCCCCCAGGGCCACCACGGTGTCCTGCACCTTCAGCAGCACCGAGCTCTCCAGAGACCTGCTGACTTGGAATAGATTTACAAGGAAAAGAAACCAAACCCAAACAATCAAAACCAAACACCCGCACATAACCTGGTCCTCAGCGAAAGCGAAAGCAGAACCACAGATGATTCCTCCACGAAGGTTGCAGGGGAGGGCCAAGAGAGTGGCCTGTGAAGAGGGTCACCTGCATTCAGGCTTCTCCAACAAGGTCCTCTTCTCCCTCACAGATTTTGTCTGGGCAGACAGAGGAATTTGTGCATTTGTTGGGGATTTCTGGACGCCAGGCAGACCGCTGCACTCCTGCAAATCTGGTGCACCACAGACCCGACATGCTGAATGTAAGAGGGCACCCCGGCTGTGCCAGGCTCACAGCGCCTTGTTCGTACCACTACAGCACCAAATCCGCTCGGGGCTGTGCCCGGGGCGATGTGGGAGCACCAGGTGCCTCTCCTGAGCAGCTTGGTCCCGTGGTTGGGTGGCAGCAGCTGGGAAACTTCTCTTTGCACTCCAGACCCCAGGTGGGAGGCAAAGAGCAACGGGGCTGCGTGGATGGGTGCGGGGTGCAAGGAAAGGGGGAGAAAAAACGAGAAAACAGGAGCATGGGGCAGCCACAGGCTGGCGTCAGTGGCTGTGACACACCGGCAGGGAGTGGCGAGGGGCTCCTAAGGGCCGGGAACAAAGGCTGAGGTTTGGGTTTGCATTGGTGTCGATCTCTGTTCGCACCGGGAACTGGATTTGGTGTGTCCCGGTCCGCCCGGACACGTAGGATGGGAAGGCAGCACCACAGGTTGCCCAGAGAGGTTGCGGAGCCTCCTCGCTGGAGGCCTTCAAAAGGGGGAGCTCCCCGTCCCTCGCCAGGCTGCGCAAGGGGGGAGACACGGGCGCTGCACCTTCCCTCGTGCAGGAGCGTGGAGAGAAACAGCAGAAAAGAGAAGAAAGGAGGAAGGGGAAGGACGGACGGACAGACAGACACACACACGGCTATGAATGGCCCCTTGCCATGCGCCCAGGTCCCGCAGGCGGGTGCTGCTGCCCCCCGGGGTCCAAGCTGGCAAGAGAGCAGTGTTGCTGGCAGGACGGACTGCCTGGTCCCGCAAACCTCAGCCAGGAGCGGGGCGCGCCGCAGGGCTGACCAGCAGCGGCTCCCTTCCGTGCGCCCACCCGCTGGCTAACTCCCGACCAGCTCTGGAAAGTGTTTTTCAGTCCAACCCTGAGCAGATTCCTCAAATGAAGGTGCTTTTCCTCGGGGGGGAAGGGGGAGGAAGAGGGGGATTGGGCGGCCGTGCCCTGGCAGTCAGTACTCGTTAGCTCGCTCTGGGAAGAAGATCTCGCGGCACCGCTGCACCGTGTCCTGGGGGGACTGGACACTGTGCCCCACCGTCCGGGGGTCGTCGTAGATCTCGTAATCGTTCCCTCCCTGCAGGGGGACAGAGACCAGGGGCAGCAGTTAGCACCTCTTCTGTGCCATGGGAGGAGTGAGCAGGGAAAGGATGGGGAAGGTGCTGGACCCACTCGCGGCGCAGTGCCGCAGAGATGAATTTCTGCATGACCCACGTGAGAGCATCTCCCCCTCGTGCACCACTAGAGGTCTGTGTCGGCCTCCGGCAGCAGCCGTGCCGCAGGCAGCCAGGCCCGGGGAGGGGAAGCAGCAACCATGGGGTGTGTGGGGTGCACTCACCGGGGTGGTCTCGTTCCCGAAGAAGTGGATGGTGTCAAACCTCTCGTCGTCCAGCACGTTGAGGCAGTAGCGCTTGTCCCAGCCTTCCGGGAAGACGTCAAAGCTGATCATGCCGCCTGCCAGCAGGAGGGGGGGACGTTGGTAACGTGGTGGGGACAGGGTGGGGGGTCCCCCGCCCCAGGACAGGGCTGGGCACGAGCGGGGAGCCCTCCCTACGAGCCCTCCCCACCAGCTGTGCCCTGGGGCTCTGGCACGGAGCTGGGAGGGTGGCGGGTGCTGTTCCCCTGACAGCAGCCCGAGGGACACCAGCACGGTGACAACAGGCACCAGGGGGCTGCAGGGGGGGAGCCAGGGGGGCTGTAAGAGAGGCACCAGCTGGAGATTTGGGGTTGCACCCCACAGAGAGCATCGGTATGTCCTGCGTCCCCATGGGGGGCAAAGCACCTTATCGGAAACTCTCCCACTCTCTTTCTTCACCAATAATAATCCTGCCTCAAACGGGAGGGGGCTGAGCTGGCAGCTACCCACGGGGGAAGATCCCTGCTGGAGGAGAGGTGCCGATCCCCCAGGCTGCTCAGGAGCACACGTACGATGCCATGCTCCTCTCCTCCCCGGCTAGCTGAGATGTCCCTGCTGCTTTGGGGCCCTTCCCCAATGCTGGCCCCAGCAGGCAGAAGGAGCCTCTGCAGGACAGGGTGCCCCAGGCAAGACTCTGCAGTACTCAAGGGAGCAAGAGCCCTGTGAGATCAAGTGTCCTACAAAAGAGCAGGAACTGAACTTGGTTGCCCATTTCCCAGAACAGAACAGTGTCCTCATTAGAAGTCTTCCCTTTTTTGTTTTTTGTCTCCAAAGCCATTTACCTAGGAAGAATGCTGCATTTCGTTGTGTGCTGTCCTTTCTAAAAGAGCTGGGCAGCACGGAGGGCTCCTGATGCCAGCTGGAATGGGTAAGGAAATTGGAGAGGGGAGAGAGGGCTGGTGTGGGGACACCAAGCACCTCGTCTAGGCAGAGCATGGGCCTGGGGAGCTGCAGCAGGATCTGCCGCCACCTTGGGCTGTGGCAATGCTGCAGGCAGCACAGGGTGCACTCGGTAGGGCACTGAAGGGAGAGGCGCTCAGGATGAAAGCCCTTGGAGGAGCAGAGGGCCAGGCAGCGCTGTCTGACACTGGGGTCAGGAGCGGAGTGTCACATGCCATGTCCTGGCCCTGTCACACCCCTGGCCTTTGGCTGGATTTCCACGTGGCACCTCCTTACGTTACACCCACCTACCTGTTCTGTGGAGGGTCTTCTGGCCTCAGCCCCACCCCTCAGCTCCCCTCATTTCATTTTCCAACCCCTGCTGAGCAGATTCCCAAGGCTGCTCAAGCCCCAGGCTCCTTCAGCTCCTTGCCTTTGGTAAGCTGGCTGTAAAAGTGCGCCTCCACCCCGAGGCATGGCCCTGCAAAAGGCACAGGGTGGCAAACTCCCTGCCTTCTGGCAGCTCTTCTGCCAAGGAGAAAGACGTTTCCCTAGTAGCCAGCTTCCCAAACAAAACTCCAGCGCTGAGAAACATGAGATCCCTTCCTCTCTTACACCCCTGCATTCCTCCAGGAGCCTGTGCAGAGGACTGAATGTGCCTGGAGCTCTGCTGGCAGCCCGGCTGCTGCTGCTTGAGCCAGAACAGACCTCCTGCCTGCGCAGGGGTGGGCTCAGCACGGCTAACTGCAGGCAGGCACAGACAGCGTCACGGGACAGAACCCATGTTGGTCTGGATGGTTCCCAGAGAGGAAAATCTACAGCACGGTTTATTCTCTGCCATCAACCTGCTGCAAATGCGAATGTGACGCCCTCGCAGCGGCTCTCCAGGAATAGAAGCTTGCTGAGCTCTCACCGGGGGCTCCCTGGGGAGCACAGCTCCAGCCCTCACCCAGCCGGGCCCCCGAAGGGAACAGCCTGGATTCCTGCTCCCCTTTCCACGATTTGAAGGGAAGCACAATAAAGAGGCCAAAGCACAGCCAGGGAAGCCGCCCCTACTCACCTCGGGAGAAACGCAGGCCCTTGCCAGCAAACTCCCTCTGCAAGGCTGCCACAAACTTCTCCCGGATCCGCTCCTTCTGCAGAGGAGAAGAGGAAAGAGAAGGTTTGAGTAATCAGATGTTGACACTACCGAAATACACCGTAAGCTGTCTCCTGGGCAACTCTGGCTCATCGCTCTGCTCTGCTCACTCTCCCAGCTTTTCTGAGCCCCTGGAACAAGGGAATTCCCCGTGCTCTTCGGGGTCCTGAATAGGCGTTGTGATCTGACTGCCATCAGTTCCCTCCTGTCTGACCCTCTCCTCCTGGCTGCTTCAACACCCTTTAACCAGCTTTCACCAGTCCTGCGTGATGCCTGCCTACAGACACCAGCTCAGGGCAGCTCCAGCAGGCTACAGGGAGCAGCAGATCTGCCCAGCATATTTGCCATGGCTCTGCCGGTCTAAAAAGCCCCTTAGTTCCAGTTCCCTTATGGATGGGAGAGAGGGAAAAAGACGACAGCTGCTGGTGAGCTAGGCCTGGATGTTTAGGGCTTTTTCTGAGGCTTGAGGTGAAATTCTACCTTTGGTTACTGCAAACAAGGAAACAGCCTGTGAAATACATGTTTTATTCCCAAGGGGCCTGCCACAGCACCAGGGATACTGCTGGCAACCCCACTGCCCTGGCAGACCCCAACTAAAGTCAAATTCTTCCTTTTATTTATGTCTCTCCTTGGGTTTTCTGCCTCGAGTCCTGTCTCCACCTTGCTGCCTGCTTTACTTTGGTGCACAGCTTGTAGCTGGGCTCTCTTCTCCCCAGAAGGGGGAAGCACAGGAGACCTGAGATCTGTGAACAGCACAAAACCACCAAAAGGGAGGGTGAGCCCGAACGCAGCCTGTACCTTGTCCAGCTCGGAGAACTCGATTCGCTCCTCCGGCGTGCAGCTCCGTCCGATGGGGGAGATGTTCAGCATCCCGTTGCGAAACTCAATGAAGGTTCCTCTGTGTGGGCAAGAGCACAAGGTTACTGGCGGGATTTACAGGGGCTGGGAGAGAAATAAAAAGGCTTTTCCAGGGAAACGGCTGCTCAGCGAGGCATGCAGCGTCTGCAGGGACATGCAGGAGGAGAGGAGCCATGCCCACTCATGGGTGCTCGTGCTTCAGCTGTGCACGAGCTTCTAAGGTTGCCCAAGAGCCCCGTTTCAGCAGGCAGAGACCAGGCTTCAACAGCTACTGAAGGTCTCCAAGGGATAGTTTAATAAAAAGACTGCAAGAGAAGGGGAACAAACAGTTACTGTGCTCTGGAAACGGGCTGGAAACGATGGGCTTAGGTGAGATAACAGGAGGCATTTTGTGATGTTGCAATAGCTGCAAGGACTGCTGTCGCCGGGACTGGATCAACCGCCCGGCGAGACTGTGGCATCTCCAGCCCCTGGAGGCCTTTCAGAGAAGTTCCCTGCGTTGGTCTGTGTGAAGCTGGAGGAGCTTGGGGCAGTGGGAAGGAGCAGGTCAGCGTAACGTGTTGCTGATGCTGGGCAGCAGGATCAGGCAGGCCCCTGCAGGGCCTTCACGTCCCCCCTCTGCCACCCGCACCTTGGGCTGTGATTGCTATCGCAGCTTGCACAAACAGGGCCCAGCTCCCTGCCTGACACCATCACCTCGCACTGATACCACTGCTCTGCCAGTTTCTTGGTGGGCTGGTTCAAAGCACTAAGCTGGCAAAAAATCATCGATTCCCATTCTTTTCTCCTTTTTTGCTGGCTTATCACCTCAGAAGAGTGCACTGAGGGTTCAGACAAGTAGCAGCACTGGTGCACGGGAGGGGCAGGAACAACGCAGAGCGAAACAGAAGCCAATCGGCAGCACTGCTGATTCGAAAATAGATCAAAACTCTTGAGGGAACCTACCCGGAGCAGGAAGATCCCCTTCCTTGTCCGGTCTGAGGAGCCCTGAGCTCCCTAAGCCTCTAACGTCCCTCCCAGCCGTCTGCTGTTTCTCTGTGATAAAGCGCTTACCCCGGGGGAGAAACTCTCCCCCTCCTGTCTCGTAGCACAGAGCAGAAGTGCCTGTGGAAAGGGCACGTAGGCAGCCGTGCCTGAAGCCTGCGGACAGCATCCCTGCAGCACCGAGGGTTTATGGCTCCATGCCCAGGGCCAGGACTCAGGGAGACGTGGGTTAAAGTCCTTGCTTTGTTAGAAATCCCACAAGCCTAAATCCACAGAGGCACTTGGGAGCTGAAACCTCACTGGGTTGAGCAACCAGGCAGCCGTGAAGCAACCAAACAGCCCTGAGGGATCTGGGTCCCAGCCCACGGTTTCAGGGGCATGTTTAGCCAGCACTCCTGTCGCAAGGAGCCACGCTGGCCCCTCTCACCAGGGCTCACGCTGCCACGCGGTGACTCACATCAGGAAACCCATCTGGATCACAGTTTAGCAACTTTTCTTTCAGCACCTTAATTTCAAGCAGATCGCTCGCCTCGGGTTCACCATACAAACACTGGTGCTGACACGAGGGGGAGAGCAGGAACAAAGCAGCCAGAGGCGAGGGGAGAGCAGAGCTGCTGGGCAGTGCTGGCTTCAAGTGTTTGTGAAACCGTGCGCTGAGGGGTGGTTTGACATTACAGCCAGACTGGTTCAGCTGCAGGCTGTCTCTGAAAGACGTCCTTCTGCTCTCCCCTTCCATGTCATCTTTTTTTCTCCTCTTTTTTTTTTTTTTTTCTGCTGGATCCAGCAATGACATGATAACGAGCTGATCCAATGGAAAACTACCCTTTTCTTTCCTCGCAGCAGACTAGTTTTCCTACAGACCAGATGTACCAACCCAACTCACCCTGTAACAGCGGGATCTCATGATGAGGAAGCAAGCAGGAACATGTGGTTGACTGCAGAGCGTGGCCAGCCCTGTTACTAGTGGCTTCTAGTGACTTTAGGTTAGACAGAGCACGAGACTGTGTGCTTAGACTCTGCACCTCTGCACCTTAAGATGTTAAGAGCTGTTTTTTGTCTGCTTGGAACCTCATACGACCAGTGATAATGCCTGATGCCCTGACCAGCATCTAGCTGTTACCACTGCCTTAAATCAGGTGCATGCAGTGGCTGCACAGGCATTAAGCTAAAAAACAGTTCAGACTCTCCAGAAGAAAGGCCCTCCTAGATTATTTGCCTACAGTGCCCAGCTCAAGGGGGCAGCGATCCTATACAGGATCCCTAAATACTACAGTAAAACCTGGAGCAAAGACAAGCTCAGTAGCTCAGCCGTTCTTACAACAGCTTTGGGGTCCACAGCTCCCTAGAAATCAGTGATACAACAGACATTTGCACAGGCTCAGTCCTTTACCGTTTCTTGGGCAGTTTCAGCAGCGCCATGTAGTTGAGACAGAAGTTGATGAGATCCTGCAGCAGCTCCTCTCCCAGGTGGTCCTGGATGGCCTGCGGGAGGAGAAGGGGAGTGAGGGAGAAGCAAGAGCACACACAAAGCTGAGGTTCCTGCTATTCTGTCAGGAAGAAAGGACCACAGGAAAACGGCAAGGCTTTTTTGGACTAGGCCTTTCTACCAAACGTGGATGGTATGCAGTGAGGGGACCCTCAGACAGCAGGAGTGGGTCAGTTTTTCTTGTGTGTCACTTGGCTCTTCTGCCCCACACAAGCACAAACCACTGAACCTCCTGGCACTAAGCAGCTGCCACGGCTGCGGTGGCCCTTGGACAACCATTAACCCAGCTGCCACGTGACAGGTGGGGGAGCGCAGGCTCTGGCCCCTGTTCCAACCCAAAAACACTGAACAGGAGGAGTGGGACATCCAAATCTGGCTGCTGGGGAGGGAAGACGGGGCTGCTCACCTGCATGCAGCCACCCTGCTCCCCGTGGCGCTCAGCAAGGCGGGCTGAGGAGGCAGAGCTGTGTTTGCACGAGGAGCCGGCCTACCTGCTTGGAGACCAGCCGCCCGTTCTTGTACTGCACGGTGCCATTCTCGGCGAAGACGTAGTCAAACTTACTGATGACTGAAAGGGAGGAAAAGAAAGAGAAAAAACGGATGCTGCTTCAGCCCTCGGCTAGGAAAAGGGGCCAGACAGAGAGAGAAGAGCTGGCTGGGTCCAGGACCCAGCATGTTTTCTGCCAGGTGCCTTCACAGCACACATCTCATGTCTCCCAGCACACAGGCAGCGACCCTCAGAGCTCCTGGTGTGCTATCTGCAGCGGGCAGGGGGGCAGCTGACGCAGACGGGGGGAAGCGACCTGACTGGGGTCACAGCCTGAATCAGTGGCAGACGGCAGATAAGAGCTCCGAGATGTCAGGCTTTCAGCCACGTGCGCTGCCGGGGTGCTCCGGTGATGCAGTTGTTGGTTATCTAACGCCGGGCCCTCCTGGCAGCAGTAAACAGATTGCTGCTGACTCAGCCACCGGCGCCGCGCTCCCCCGAGCCACGCAGCCCATCGCTGCTAATGAGGCAGAACGGAGACCTTAGGACCGGGCTGCGTGCTCGCCATCGAGCTCGGCGATGGCAAACAAGGCGGAGGGCGGACAAACAAGGCTGCCTGCCCTGCCTGCCCTGCCCTGCCCTGCCTGCTGCCCCATCCTCTGCCTCATGCCCTGCCCGGGCTGGCGATGCTGCGGGTGCGCTGCCAGGCGGCTCGGGCAGCCTCTGCTCCCATCCCATGGCAGTGGGAAGCAGCCTTCGAGCGGCGGCTCCTAGGGCACGTCCAGCGACCCTACAAGCGGGCTGCGGGGTCCCACTGCTCATCTGGGGCACGCGTGAGCCCCCGAACCTGAGCGGTACCCCCGGGCTCAGGGCCGGGGAAGCGGGGGGGGCTCGCGGGCTTCTCACCTTCGTCGCCCTCGCCCAGCTGCTCGGCGATCTTGGAGTAGTCGGAGCCGCCCACCACGCCGATCTGCACCCTGCCGCGCAGCTCCTGCAGGAACCGGTCCACCTCGGGCTCGATCTTCTGTGGGAGCAGGGGGGGGGATGCCCGGGGTCAGCCCGCGGGGCCGAAATGGCGGCCGGGCAGCGCCCAACCCCCCCTCCCCCCCTCACCTCACCTCCCTCCCGGCGGCTCCCCCTCACCTGCCGGGCCGGTGTCAGGGTCCCGTCCACGTCGAAGAGGCAGAGCACCCGGCCCCGAGCCGCCGCCATCCCCGCTGCCGCCCGCTGCCAGCCCGCCCGGCGGCCCGGGGGCGGCCCGGGGGCGGGACCGCGCCGCGGCGCCATCTTGTGGCGGCTGAGGGGGGCTGAGGGGGGTGAGGAGGGCTGGCAGGCCGCGGGCAGCTGGTCCAATGGGGGTTTTGGGGTTGGTTTTAGGATTAGTGGTACTTTATAGGGGCTTGTCTACGTGCAATCACACATATCTCTGTCTTCTGTGCGGCGCAGCCATGCACCGTCTGCCTCAAAAGACAGCCGTGCAGTCAGACGCACAGCGAACTCCCGGTGCCCATAAACACAAGCCATTTCTTGTTTATAAGGCACAGCACGGTACAAAGACAATACGTCCCCTGTCTGACTGGAGGAGACACGGTGCTGGGAACAACTGCAAGCTCGCTCCCCTCATGGCCCCAGAGATGTGGCAGCACTTCGGTTCTCTCCATAGCCCACACTGCCCCTCTGGTGTGTCCTCCCAGCTGCTCCCTTAGGGCATCCCAAATGTTGTGCCCAGCCTCGCAGTTATTTCAGGCCAACCTGCTTCCCGTGAGGACTCCAGGACACCACCATCTCTCTGCAGTCTCTTGGCTGACCTTGTGCTTGCACAAGCTGGGCGCTCACCCCTTCGCCCAGTTGGACTAAAACCATCCCCCTGCACATCCACATCTACACTTCATAGCACAGCAGGAGGAAGAGGGCAGGCTCTCAACCACATCAGGGTCTGGATTTAATAAAAAGGACGTGGTCCCCACTGGGATCTTTGTGTTATTCTCGGTGTCTGAGGCCAGCGCAGACTTCTGCTGCAGAGGCCGCGTGTATGGGCAGCTTTCCCCTCGGGCACCCAGCTGAGGCTGATCTTTCCACACGGGGCAGGAGACAGCCACCAAGAAGGCCCCTCCGAGGGACCTGACCCCCTTAACTCCCGGGGAGCAGGAGCAGCTCCGTGCTGCACAACGCCCCAGCACTGCCACCCGGTGGCACTTGCCGGCATCAGGAGGGCCACCAAGGCACCGCTCCGACTCGTTTTCTGCACGCCTACAGAAAACGCTGGCTTTAAGCCAGCGGTAGAGCTTTCCAAAATCTGACCTACCTGCTGTGCTTTCTCCAGCTTATTATTTCCGTCGTGCTGCTTTACGAAGTCTTTTCAAGTCTACAGCATGCCAAACCACCTCCCTCAGCACCTTTATGGCCATTCACCGTCAGCTGGGGAGGGCCTGTGCCACTGTGGTTTCCCTGAGAGCACAAAAATCACCTGGGTTAGCTCTGAGAACAAGCCACTGCAGCTGTCCCAGTTATTTAGTACTTGAGAGAGCCGCTTAGCTCCTCCCTTGATGCACTCCCTTGCTTGCAACTTGGACAGCAGCAGTTGTGGATGAAAGCAGGTATTTTGGTCAAAGTTTTGACGGTGTCTGTGAGCACTGTACATTATGACTAGGGCCACTATTATGGTCACCATCTCCCCGTTGTACTCACTCCCAGGTATTTTACCTGGGGCTAATACTTGAAAGTAAACCAGCCCCCCATCTGAAGAACAGACCAAAATGACCACAACCATTAAAGCCCCTTACCCTACCAAACCCACACAGATTGCTGTACAAACAGCAAGCTGTGTGGCTCAGCACATGGATGTCATCAGTAAGCGTCCAAAAGCCCATACTGAAATAATTTCTTACCCAAAGCCCCAACTTTCCTCTAATTTTTAACAGCCTACTAGCAGAGGCACCATGGACGCTGCTACATAACCCTCACCCGTATGCCCTCTGCAGCTCCAGAGGAACCCAGGAATGAAGCCCACTTCTTAAGGCTTCTTCCTTCCTTTTTAAAGTAGTAGCACTGAGACAAGCAGGAGAGGAAAAAAAAAAAACAAAAAAAAAAAAACCTTTTGTTATGCTTAAGCTCTTTTGGGCCTCTTCTTCAAGAGCACACATTGGGTATTTCATTCTTGAACACTTAAATGAGCAATGGCTGTACACAATCCGTGCTGACAAACCGCCTACTGTCTGACCTTTATTCAGCTCATCCAAGCTGTGCCAGCCCTCAGAAGAGGGATTTTAACATACCACAGTGATTGCAGAAGTAAAATGTCCCCAAATTTAAATAAAAATATTGCCCATGGCCAGTTCTAGCAAAGAGCAGTAGCCACTGTCACTTCTACCAGCAGGTACACAGCACAAACTGCTGGGATGGTTTCTTAACCTGCAATTTCCAGCAGGGAACAGCGTGAAGCAGATTTCTGGTGAGCTGCCTTTGCTGGGTAGCTGCGTGGACACATACAACCAAACAGGAAACTGCTGTACTTTTTTATTGTAATAGAAAAAAAAAATCAAAACATCACTTTCTGTCTAAAGATGTTATTAACATTTTAAAAATGGCATGGTGGAACCCCAGCAATACTTGACAGAACAGTAAGTGTGGGAAAAAGGGTCCTGCTCCCCTCCAGGAGTTCAGCTTCCTTGCTCCCCTTTGTCAATCATCTGGCTGAAGTTTGCCACCTCTGTACACTTCCATACATTGCTCATTGTAGTTTGTGCACCTATGAGTAGGTATGGCGGGGAGGAATGTTGGCTGCACAGACCTGCAATTTACACGCAACCATCTTTGGAGAAAATGGGTTTCCTAAGAGGCCTACGGGGTGCAAGGGTCTCATTACCCAGTAAGATCAAACAAACAGGATCTCCTCCTATAGTTCCTTCGTCACAATACACAGAGTAGGTCCAGGGACATGGAGACCCTCTGGAGCTCCTTTTGAGAGTACCACAGTTACTGCAACCAGAATGTGTCTGAGTGAAATTTTACCCACTGATACTCAAGTAGCAGCATTCTCTCCGCAACAGGGCTGCTCAGGAGGGGAAAAGGCTGATTGCAAAATGCCTGGGGGGAACCTCTTACATCCTGTCAGGAGGCAGGAAAGGAAAAGGCCCTGAAGCAAAAACCAGGCTCAGGACCTCTGAAGTGGACACATTTGTCATGCAATGAAGCATGGGGCAGAGACCGTGGTACTAGAGACTGTGGTGCCTGTGCTTGCCTTGCAGAACAGCTGTACCAGCAGATGGCTGTACCTGAAGTGATAGTTTGCCGAAAGAAACAACCACAGCTGTGCTCCTTGTGGGTACCAAACTAGCATACCCAGATGTTGTGCTGCGTTGTATCAGCTTCTGTATACCTGTTCGACAGAGGAAGCGCCAAGATCTCTAACGTGCTGTTGTGTTTTGTGGTATAGTCATGTCTGTACTCAGATGAGAGACCGTTATTCTTCACAAAATAGGCATGGAAAGAGTCTGGAGGGGATTACACAGACAACAGGAAAACTATGCTGTGGCTTTCCAGAAAACAAACACTTACCAATTCCTTCTCCAGAAGCACCAAGAGGTGCTGTCTGGTAAATAATTTACTACAGAATGCTTTCTGCAAACAGTACATTTTGATGGTGAAAGACTGAAAACTTTTGCATTAAGCTTTTGCATCTGTACTAACTGCTGGAGTTGTCTCCTAGTCCAGTCTGTCAAATGAACACTTAAAAAGTTGATGGCACGAGCAGAGAATGACAGAAGGAAAAATTCACCACTGACAACAAAAAAACATTCTGGGCTGCAAGGGCCACCTGCACTCAGAGCAGCTCCACACAACTGCAAAAGGACTGACAGTCCCCGACTTCCACTGGTGTAGTGACTCCACAAGGTGCAGGGCAACAGAGTAACTGACAGAGTGACTGAACTGTGGGTTTCTTCCACTTCATCCCCACAAAAATAACAGCGTGAGAAACATACTAATCCGTATTACTCTGGGAGAAAGATAGCCCAGCAGAGGAAAGACATCTCCTTTAGGTATACGGAGAGATGCAGGACTGAGCTTGCAGCAATTGTTTGCACAACAAAGCACTGGAACTAAGGGCTATACTTTGCATAGATGCTTTCTTCAGTGGCATCTGGGATGTGCAATCCCCATTTATGAAACACCAGCAATGTTTTGGGGGTTTGCCTGATATCTTTCTTGTGTTCCTTCTGAAGTGTACTTGCTACAGAATTGTTCAGGAAATCAGTGTATATACATGCATGAAAAGAAATCAATGTGCCTCATCTTTCCTTCCCCTGATTTTTTTCCCCACTGCAAATAATTGCAAAGCCGTAAGAACCTGAATTTCTAACCTAAATTCAGAACCTAAATTCATGCCTGTCTGAATTTAAGAAGAAGAGATTGGACTGTGCACTTAGGCACATGGTCTGAACTTTTGGGTAGACCTGTGCGGTGTCAAGAGTTGGACTTGATGATCCTTAAGGGTCCCTTCCAACTCAGGATATTCTATGATTCTATGATTAACCTTAAATTAGAAGATGCAGTATTGATACAATCTAACATCAATCTAAGGATAGGACTGCTTCTCCATGCATCCCAATCAACTCAACTGTTCCACAAAAAAGCTTAACTTCACTATTCCTTATTTTCTGTAAATTTGGGGAGACCTAGCACTTATTTCCCTCACTTAAGCAGAGCGCTCTCATTATTGTGCAGCTGCCATGCTATTCCTGCCTCACTGTACTGTAACTCTGGCTTAGTGAGAAAAAATAGCTCCTGAGCAAAGGTAAAAGTTAACAGGATTCTATCCATCTGCTGACAAACCTGCTTGGAGAAAAGAAAGCTTACTTTCACCTAAAATTTGCTCATGAGATTCTGTCCATTCAGCTGGTTCTCTCCCTTAACACTTGGATCTCGCCTTACGAGGCTCCTGGTAATTTTCAGTTGCAGCCTCCCACCCACACACAGCTGATCCCATTGAAAGTCTCAGCTTTGAAAGTGATGCTGACTAGCTCAGCGAGGCCACCCTTTCCACTCAGCTGTGCCATTGCAAATACTCTGATCAGATGAGTTGAGCTTGTCCCCTGAGCAAATAACACAACGTTAATGAAATATGTGTAAGACTAGTACAGGGACACCTTCACTTCCTAGGCTACAAACACTTCCTTTGTCTTCTTGCTACAGACTTCAGTAAATACCCCCAGAATACACGCAGTGACAAGAGAAAGAGATGTGAGCCTGCAAGGGATGGCTAGGACATCCCATTTACACCAAAATGTGTAACGGGTGCTTGAATGTTCATGGAATGAATTCCCACTTACCAGCACGGGAGTTACTTAGAAAGTGTCAGCCTAACTCAGGCAGGACAGCCTTTATAAATTAGTACAATACTATTAGAAATTATGGCAATCTTTTTGGTAGCATTGTCTTACATGCACCCTGATAACCCTCTCCCTAGGAAATTTTAAAACTGGTCCTGTAATTTCCATAGAGTTAATTCTGATGGGAAATTATAAAATAGAAATCTGGTAGATTCGTGTTTAAAAAGGAAGAGGCATGGTGAGGCTGGGCACAATGGGTCACTCCTGTTAGCTCTGTCCATTATGTCTGCTGAAGGCATTTCCTCCAGGTGCCTGGATCTGGATGGTGTCCAGGAGGGGTCTCAAAGCTTGTCCAAAAGGTCTGAGAAGGCAAAGAAATAAACACATCAAATAGCTTACTTGAACAATTTTTCCCATTTACTACAGAAATGGGCTCACTTCCTAGACTGGAATCAAATCACCATAACAGAAGTAAAGTTGATGAAGAGACTTTCACTTTTCACTACAAGCAAACTAGATTTAACTTATCATGCAGAATTTACTGTTCAATAGCTAAGGATCTTAAAGCAGATTTTCTATAAAGGTAATTCCAAGTCCTAACACACCCACGCCGCTAATGTGGTATTAGTGTGTCTGAAACTGGCTTTCAGTAATTCATTCTACTTAAGCATGCGAATGAAATCCCTGTTATGCAACTGCAGTTCTTCATTAAGCATCAAATCAATATTAAAGACTAGAATAGCCCCTAGTCCCCTTATAAGACAATGATTCAACACAGAGAATCATGTCTGTTGCAATCTGTAGCACCAAGTTTGTCTTCTGGTGTGACTCACTCTGTTACAGCCTGGCTGAGAGATCTGAGGAAATAAGAGCCCAAGGCAGAAGATGTGTCTCTCAGATGATGTGGTATACCACTGCTATGAGAAAGACCTAAACAATGGAGCTAAATCACCCTGCTGGGATCCTCACCAGTTCAGAGTACAACAGAAGAGGTCGAGCTGACCTGCCATCATTTCCTCTTTCATATTCTTTTTCCACTCAGTTCTAGCTTTAAAGCTGCAGCAGTAATTTTAAAATTACATCTCCCCTGCCTCTTCACAAGCAAAACTGACATCTTCACTGGCGCTTAGAGTATGAGGTGTGACCTTTGAGATATACTGGTTTCCCACAACAAAAAAGAAAGACAAAACCAAACAGCTACCAAAGAAAAGACACACTTGCATCACTTCCAGAAAGTCCCTTTACATGTCTGGTCACATAAGAGAGGCCCTCACAAAATAGCTAATTTAAGTTAAAGACAGAAGAACAACCTTCTTTCACACCTTCTCAGTAATGCCAGCGCAAGTTAGCACCTGTCGGACAGTGTTGTAAGCATTAAAGGAAAGCAAACAGCATCCTCTCCTTAATCTCACGCTGGTTCTCACAGAGCCGGCAGAAACTGGTACTGCTGCCTCTGTCAAATATTTAAGCATTAGCATGAAGCAATACACTACAGGGAGAAGCAGAATGCATACTCACGTGGCAAGAACTTCAGATGGAAGGTCAGTGATGTAGGAAGGGATTTTTCTTCCTGTCAGGAACTGTGCCACTTCATTACTGAAGGTGTTGCAGTTATGTTCAAAGATGTTATAGGACTCACTTCTGCGCCACAGGAAAGGAATTGAAACATGAAAAGCGAGACCCAGCAATAAATCTAACAAGAAAAACTTAGACCACCAATGAGGAACATCTCCTTACATCAGCACTTTTCTCCCCTTCCCAACAAAGGGTGCTAAGTCAAGTACGTAAAATACAGACATCAATTCACCTTCAAATTCAATTGAATCAGGGTGGAAAACGACATCTCTCTGCATCACTGACTCTATACAATGTTTTTTGAAGGGTAAGTGAGGTCAGGTTTCTTTGAGTAAAACCACAGAAGGAGTAAGGAAAAAAAAAAATCACAGGAATTATTGATATTGAAATTTAGCCAGAACACTAATGCTACCATTTCCTATCCTCTTGAGAAGCTGACAAGACTCTTTAGCAACCAAGACCTTGATTTTACTTATCTGAAAGTTGGCAGCTTTACTACAAAGCTTCACCCATGACTCATGGGGCAAAGCACTATTTACTGAAATATTTCATACAGTGCCTTCGTTTTCCCTGGTGATCCTCTCTAAAGCATTTTAGGTGTTATTCCATTTTGAAAACAACAACAACACAAAAATACAACAACAAAACAAACATGTGAAAGATTTCCTGGTAGAATGTCTTCCCAGCCTAGCTCAGGGCTGGCACACGAGAGGGTTGCCTAGTTGTACGTATCAGTTCCAGTCTCTTATCTGGAGAGCACTAACTAATACACTAGGCAAAGTTCTGTGAATGGGATGGGTTTCAGAAGACCTTTCTCCCTCTTTCCCTAAAAGCCTTTTTTTTTTTTTTTTTTGGCACACAGATTTTATAGCAAAAGCTGCTACTTACCGGAACATAGATTCCCCCAAAGATGACAAATATTCCAGAAAAAGTTCTTCTGTGACTTCAGTGTTTCCCAGGTCAACAACCAAGTCTGGGGGGCCAAGCAGCGTTCCTCCCTGTAACAATTAACATCCAGAAGATAATATTAAAATCAACAGACTGAATTATTTTGGGGTCCACTGAATTGAGCTATGGTTTCTCCAAGCACAGAAAGAGGAACTTTTAGTTTATCAAGCAAGGAGCCCTACTGGCCTTCCCCACTCTCCACCCAGAGAATGAGAGGTTATGTGCTGAAATCTCTAAAATACAGAAAAATTCTGCTTTAGAAGAATTGCCCATCAGTTTCACCACTCCAGTGGCAGAAAGGTCTGTCAAAGCATCGTGTTCTATTTTTTTTTTTTAAACTTCCCTCCATGTTCTTTTCCTCAGATGCCCAGGGCAACCATGGCAAGCAGCCACATCTGGCTGAATTCAGACTTCTCTTCACTTGCTGCTTTTCTAAAGGACACAAGCAAATCTGATCTGTAAGCCTATCACAAAATTATCTCCTCAGAAAACTAAGGTTAACTTACAGGTGCACAGCTGGAGATTCCCCCACTGCCAAAGAAGAACTCATCCTTATGGACTATTATGGAGGTGTGCCTGCCAGGGAATAAAAACAGATGAAATAAAGGAAACATTTAACCTAGCACATTAATCACCAGTAAAGACATTGTGGTCAAGGTCATCACCAAGTTAATAGCTGAAGGAAAAAGTCAATGTGTTTCTGTGACTAGGAACAGTATCTGCTGAGACAAAAAACAAATGGAAATGATTATCAGCCCTACTGCAACACTGTGGGAGGTTGGGAAGAAGGGCTCAGCTAGGTGCCTAAGCATGTACGAAGGAAGATTGGGACTTCCACAGCAGCACGAGAACTCCAGCAGCCTCTTTCCGCTAACGGGTTGAGGGTGAAGTTGCTGAGATAGTCGCAGAGCTAGCTCTGTCTCTCTCTGCTGGCAGAAGGGTCTGACTGATAGCAACCCACTGAGGATACGGTTGGGCAATCACTAGAGAGGGCTTGAGAGAGACGCAGAAGGTGGGTTATTTATTTATTTATTTTTAAACTTTCTGAGCATGACCTACAGCAAACTAGGAAATGATTTGTAACTGAACGTAGCCATGGTTCTTACATACCAGGAGGCTAGATTCTCTAATACCTTCTCCCCACCTACTCTTTTACTCTCATGTTTAGTCCTGCAATTAGAAGACAGTGTCTGGGACAGGGACAACATCCTGAACCCTGGAAAATGGGTACAAGAGAGCACTAAACCAAAACAATGACTAAAACCATGAGATCCTAGCACCTGACTGTATGTGATTTTACTGTCAGTCTGTATTCAGGAACAGAAAGTGCCTTGGTCTCTTCTCCGTGCTAAAGTGTTCTTAAGACCTGCAGCAGATACAATCTATGGATAATACTTCCTACGCCACAGGAGTTAACACATTATGCAAGTTAAATGCAGTCACTTACCAGATGCCTTCCAGCTGTTTCCCTGTATGCAGAAAAAAGAAGATCATTATTAGCAATGTATTCTCCAGATTTCAGCCTACCTTCTGTCAATCACAAAGGAACCTTGCCTGTTATTTCACCATGACAGCATCCCCCCAAAGACACAGCTTTCATCCCAGAGGCAGTTCTAAAGAAGCAGCATGCCTTTTTTCCCAACCTAAACTACTGTGTCCACAGCAGTGCCTCCCATTTTTCCTGCTGCATGCAGAGCTGGCAATATCACCCTACCCTGCCAGTGCTTACATACCTTGGGCTTTTGCCTACAGACAAAGGAAAGAAACCTTATCCTACAGTTACAGAGCCTTCAGTCATGACCAGAACAGTTGAGTTTTGCACTGCTTTCACAATCACAAGCGGTCTGCCAGCACGGAGCACTCACTTTCCTTTTTCAGTGACTGATTTGACTCGAGCCAACTATCTGTGGTGATGGTCTCTACAATCAGCTGTCCCCTGGCTTCCCCGCCTCTTACAAACTAAGAGCTTAAATGAATGTGTGGAATTAGTGTTGTAATTTATACAAGTTATAAAATCAAACTGTGTGTTTTGTAGAACACAGCAGCAGCAACGATATGCTTCAGGCACAGCTAAACTAATAGCATGGTTGTCTTACAGAGAGCCCCTTCTGAAATTCTTTTCCAGTTCCCTGGTGCATCTTTTTCAAGTGTCCTCAGCACACTACCTCACGCTCAGCTGTCCTCTACATCCAGGCAGCACCTCTCCCGAGAACTTCTGTTGTCACAGCCTTGCTTTTAGGTGCCAGAATGTGATTTGAGCACCTGCAGGTTTCCTAGAACTAGACCAAGAGCACCGTAGACAGATGACAAAAAAAAAAAGCCAGCTGAACACAAGAGGCATTGTGCCAGGAAGAATTTGTTAAGGAAGTGCTGCTGGGCTACCTTCAGGCCAACAGCCTTTGCTCTGGTTTGGACACCATCTGTTTGCATCAGATGGGCATCAGGCCTCCTAAAGCCTGCTGCAGACCTCAATTCCTGAATTCTAGGCCATCGCGTCCACATATTGTTCTCTTCCTTTCCATTTTTCTCCTTTCAGTGAAGCTTCAGAGCTCTGGTCTTTTTAAAATAAAGAAATAATAATTAAAACCAGTTCTATTCAAATGCTTGCGACAATAAAACTTTTCTTGGCTATCTTAAGAGCCACCGCCTTGCCAATCCTCCGATGAGGATAATCCCTCAGGCCTTCCCAGAAAGGGATGCCTATGTGCCCAGGTAAGGAATTCACAGCCACCACTGCAATTTCCTCACTTCAGTTTGATGCAAAATAGGCACAGAAATGGAAACCTGCTTCAGATGAGGGTCACACACGTGTGGAGGCAAGGAAAAGTCTGTCTGATGCCTGCAGTGTCACAACCAAGTGAGCATACACAGTTTTATTGTAGGTGGACTGATCTGTCACTGCTGTGGCCCGCAGCCAGGCAGCAAACATATTCTCTGCCATCCTGTTGCACAGAAACGTGGGCACGGAGCAGGAGGGAGGCCACAAGATAGCAGCAGCGATGAGGGGAGTGGAGCAGCGTGTCGCAACATCTCAGCAGGATTTGCTGCCTCTTGAGCACGTCCCACCCCACTGAGCTGGATCCTCTGGCCCTTGTCCCACACCTTGCCCATCGGAGCTCTCGCCCTGCATCCTGGAGCTGCCAAAAAGCAGTGATAGCACAGCTCATCAGCACCAGCAGCTGGGGAGGGCACAGGGCACGGCCTGCAGCAGCTGGCCTACCTCCTTGGCATTGCATAGTTCACGTTCTCTTTATCTTCATAAATTAATGCACGTTTCTATTCACAACAAATCACCATTTTCCAGGAGGAAACTGTTTCAAAAGCAGCACAAGGATTCTGTCCTCACCGGATCTACCTTGAACAGGACCTCCAGGGATCCCTTTCCACCAGTGTGGTTCCCTGATTGCACGAAGACAAAAAAGCAGAGAGAATTCAGGAAAGGAACTTCACATTAACCTCTACTCCGGCCGGGGGGGGGCTCTCCCTGGCTGCTACGCCCCAAGCCCACAGGCAACAACAGCAGGGCAGCTCCGGGCTAGCACAGCCCCACAAGGCAGGGCTGTCTGAGGCCAGCTGCTGCCAGGCGCTGCTTTGAACGGAGCCGCTGTTTGTTTTTAACTCCTCACGGACAGCGTCCAGCAGCAGGCACAAAATACACTGCTCACAGCCTCTCGAGGTACAACACACACGCCAGCCCTGCCCGTATGGCCAAGCAAGGATCTGCACTGCTGTTCCCACAGCCCAAGGCAAGTTGCATCCAGGCCTGGCAGCGACACTTCCAATAAAGCTGCTGCTGGCAGCACTGCCCAGCTTCATAAGTAGAAGGTCAAGCTTTTTGGGGAGCCGCCCCAAATAATCCTAGAATAGGAACGTCCACATGGGATGGTATTTGTTGGGCATCTGCTGTTCATCCAGGTAAATAAGGTAACAACAATAAGGTACACAGGGAGTTTAAATATTCCAATGGGCCTCTAGCTGTTGGGGAGGAAAGGGTATTGCAAATTTAGCTGAAGGCACTTCATCAAACAACAATTAGTGCAGATGGCCAAGTTGCCAGGTATCAGCTATCCCGCTGTAATTACCTGTGAGGAAGCTCAGCCTGCAGTAAACGTGGGGTAACTCAGTTTAATTTCAGCTGCTGCCATTGCAAGCTGATGTAAGGCAGATTGCTGTTTGTCACGGATGAAGAACGTGGGCATTGAAGTCACCCTGTCAGAGCCGTGAGATTCTAGGATGGCAGCTCCTTAAGCTTTGGAAACCCGATCAATGCCCAACCTCTTAAGCCTTCTTTTCTACTTGCTGAGGTGCTCATATGGATATTTCCTGAAGATACTCAGCAGAACTCAGGAAGGGATGTCAATTATGCATAGATCCGTGCACTTCAGCCTCTCAAAGATTTAAATTGCTGAATGAGGCCAAGTTTCATCTGCTTTTTGTGGCTGTTGGCTATTATCTTTGTTTATAACATTCACAGCGCAAATAGCTTTCTTGCTCAAGTACGTACCAGAGAAATATGAGAAAAACACAACAGTCAAACGCGTTAAAAAATCGCAGGAGCCTCAGCTTAGCTACAGGAACAGGGAGAACGGAATGGATTTGTTTGTTGTGCTGATTCAGGAGACTGCCATCACGAGCATGAGGGCATTTTGAAAGAAAACAAACCTGAATAATTTTAGAATAACAATCAAATCAGATTACTTCCATGCTGAGGTTTATCTGGAAGGCCAAGCAAAACGCAGATTAGATGCTCGCCAGTCTGTCTTACGGGCAGAGTCAATTTGTTAATCTCGTGGCGCATGTGATGTCGTTTATTCCTGTGCGTTTTAAGTACCAAGTGAAAAGAGTTTGCATATTAATCCAAACTATTAGGCTGAAGGGCAGAAGAGCTGAGACTTGAAGGAACTGTGTAAGGAGACGGATGTTTAGCCCATTTAGAGCTTGTTGTTCATCCCTCAGCTCAAGAGCAACTTTTAAAAATGGAAAATTATCCTAATTAGTCAAACACTTTCTCCTATGTGATATTCAGGGTACTCAACTGAAGGAAAAGACTAAGAGAGGGAGGAGGGTGCTTCATTTCCCTTCTTGTGGTGCCTGGAGAGACCAAGCAGGGAAGACTGGGGGAGGGAATTGTACTTGATTTTCACAAGATCCCTAGCAAGTGTTTTGGAGCAAAGCTGCTGGGATCTTACAGCAGAGCAGTTTAATGTTTTTTGGAAAGCATGGAGGTGAGGCAGCATAGTGTGCTGGGGCTAGGAACAAGGAACAAAGCAGAAGGTACTTTCTTTGGACAGTTATCTTTTGCTCCAACTCTTTCTGGGCTGCTAGGTGCTTACAGCTGAACGCCCTGCTCAAGAGTTCCACCTGACACACGCTGCCGGCCGACTCGACCGCAGTGAGCCAAGGCTGCTGCAGCAAACCAAGGTCCTGCCCATTCTGCGAGTCACGTGGGCAACAACCTCACTTACAGGACAGGGGAACTTAAAGAGCTGCAAGACATTTTTCTTCAAGCCCACAATGCAATGGGATTTTAATCTTCCTTAAAGATTTCTCTCAGTATCATCTTCCAAATCAGAACAATTCAGCTGGCAATGCTGTTATCCTCCCTGTTATCCTCCTTACACAGAACCAGGTGCAAACTGAGATCTCATTTCCTTCTGGTTAGCATTTATTATTATTAGATCACGTAGCTGGACAGACAAACGTAGTCTGAACAGACTGAATGAGGGAGAGCAGACAGTACCTGCAGAGAAGGTAGAGCAACAGCACACAGAAGTTAAACACGCCACTGCCTGATATCAAAGCCAACTGAACTTCACTGTCTGGTCGCTTATACTTTAGAATAGAAATATTCACCGAAAAGTTACAGGAAACTCACAGAAAGTAACAAGAACAAAAACACCTGGGGAAAAATGAAGAGACTTGCCAAGAGAGCTGAAGATGTGCCCAAGGGGCATGACTAAGTCACCCCAACACCTGGAAGGAAGGAACAACGCTGTGTGGCTCTGCTGTTCAGGTTCATCACTCAGCCACAACGCAGAGCCCTGATCTCGAACCAGGCAGGCTAAACTGATCCTTGAACGCCGCACAGACATAATACATAATGCCTCTGGATCCTATTAGCACGGCTAAAGGCATCGTGCGGTGATGCTCCCACAGCAGCCAGCCCCGTGAGGAGGAGCTCACCCCTGTGTGACAGAGGGCTGGGTTATCAGAGGGTCATAAACTGGTTTGGGCTGGGAGGGACCTCACAGATCACTGGTGCCATGGGCATGGACAGCTCCCCCCAGCCCAGGCTGCCCAAAGCCCCCTCCAGCCTGGCCTTGAGCACCCCCAGGGATGGGGCACCCCCAGCCTCTCCGGGCAGCCCGTGCCAGCGCCTCCCCACCCTCACAGCGAGGGATTTCCTCCTCACCCCTACCCCAAACCCGCTCTCCCCCAGTTTAACCCCATTCCCCGTGCCCTACCCCTGCTCCCCCTGCCAGTCCCTCCCCAGCCGTCCCGCTGTGCGGCCTCCCCGCGCCCCCTGCTCCCCACATCGCACCGGTGTCTCCTCACCAGGCCCCGTTACCGTGACCGTTACCGTGACCGTTACCGTGACCGTTACCCGCACTGCCCCGTCACGCTGACCGGGCCGGCCTCACCACCCCCCCCACCCCCCCCGCGGTCCCGGAGCCTCACCGAGCATGACGGGGCTGAGGCGGCGGGCCATGCCCTTGGACAGGTCGTAGACGTAGAGCTGCACCGGGTGCAGCGCCGCCGGCTCCGCCATGGGGCCGGGACCGGGGGGGGGACCGGGACCGGGGGGGGGGGCCGGGCGCGAACCGGCGGCGGCGGCGGGGTCTGGTCAGGCGGCGGGGCCCTGCGCGGTGCGCATGCGCGGCCTGCGGGCGGGTGGGCGGGGCGTAGAGGGGCATTCTGCCTCCTCATTGGGCGGAGGCGCCGTGAGTGACAGGTGGGGCCGGCGGGGCGGGCACCGCCTCCATCTTGCCCCCTCCTCAGGGCGCGGCGGCCATGTCGCAGTGGGGGGCTTCTACCGCGCCCAGTCGCACGGCGACGACGAGGAGGAGCGGGAGGAAGGCGAAGGCCATGAGGAGGGCCCGGAGCCGCCCGGTGAGGCTCCCCGCCGGCCGGGGCCGCGCTCTGCCCCCGGGGGGGCGGCGGGGAGCCCTTGTGCCTCACGTTTCCCTCCCCTTTTCCCTCAGGGGGCGCCGGGTTCTCGGGCCGGGACAGCCTCATCTTCCTGGTCGATGCCTCCCGGGCCATGTTCCAGCCCTGCCACGACCAGGAGGCCGCGACGCCCTTCGACATGACCATGCAGGTGAGGCTGGGTGGCTGCCCTGTGGTTTTAAGGGCATATTGGCATAAAAAAAGATGTATTTCCTTCATATCCCTGTTAAAGAGAATGGTAATGAAAAATAATAACGCTTTTCCCCCAAAAAAACACAAAACATCCCGAAAAGCAACACCTTGAACTCTTTCTCCTGGCAAAACGTAGCTTAAAGCATTCATTACGGTTCTTCTGTCCTCCACAACTCATAGGAACTGCTAACCACCAAAGACAAAAAGCATTTCCAGCAATACTGCAACAAATGTTCACGTTTTGACCCCTGTGCATGCTTTCCAGTGCATCCGGAACGTGTACACCAGCAAAATTATCAGCAGCGACAGGGACCTGCTGAGCGTCGTGTTCTACGGCACCCAGACGAACAAGAACTCCGCCGACTTCAAGCACGTCTACGTGCTTCAGGATCTGGACAATCCAGGTAAAGGCAATAGAGAGATAGGAACGTTCATGTAGAGGACAGAGATTAAAAAAAAAATAAAATTGTGTAGTACTGTCATTAACTGGCCTCTCTGAACACAGAGCTGACAGGTGAACAAAAAGGTTCTTGGTAGTGAGATGCGTTTCGGGAGGGTGGATTTAGAAATTTAGTGGAAGCTTAAAAACTTAACGGGAGCTTAGCCTTTTCTGTTATAGTTTGTTCAGATCTCCTTTCTGTGTCTTTTTTTTTTCTGTTTTACTGTGGTCATTCGCTTGCCTCTGTTAAAGCTAAGAGGATCTCGAAAGAACTCTTGAGAGCCTGTCATGTGCTGGCCACGCTTCAGAATAATATGTGGACATTATAAGGAGCTGCAAGTTACAGCTGGTGGAGAATATCACAGAATGGCTGAGGTTGGAAGGGACCTCTGCAGGTAATCTTGCCCAGCCTGCCTGCTCAGATAGGGTCAGCTAGAACAGGTTGTCCGCTTTGTTACCTGCTTAGGGTGTGTTGTCTCTAATTTCCGTAGGAAGTTTTGCAGTTCTCGATTTTAGCGCAGTTTTGTGCAGATTACCTTGCATGCACTTGCTAACAAGAGTGCCAATTGTTGAATTGGAAAACCTAGTAGCAGTGAGATGAATGCATGCTTGGGGCTACAGGTAATCAGACAGCTGAGAGTGTTGTAGGGGAACTCTGTCTACTAGCTTTTAATAACTGTCATTATCTCCAGGGAGGTTTTATTTCATTTTCTTAACTAGGAGGTGCAGTTTAGTGCTTTTGCTGTCATGCTTTGATAACGCATGGGGTTTCCTGTAAGAACTGTGCCTTGTCCTACTTTCAGAATTAATTGCAAGTGGGACCTGACAGGACTGCCCAAGGTTCTTCTCCTTTCTTTGGAAGAAAGTGCCTTACAATTCTAGCTCATCCTTTTTCCTCCTTCCATGCTTGCCCTTTTTGCCTTCGTTAGAGGCAGTAGCTTCATCATGCTGATAAAAGTGTGGGTGAAAGGTGAATGTTGCTAAAAAGGAAGAAAACCGTACATTTACTGCCACTGGAGAGCCACATGGAAAAGACATGCTATTATTAGTTATTATGTAGTTGTTATGAAAACTTATGGTATCAATTAAATGAAAGCTGAGGATGAAAATGGGGGAAAAAAGGATGTTTTCAGATGAGATTTCAAGAGTGGTATGGAATTTGAGTGAAGGACAAAGGAAGAAGCTCTGCAGAATGCAGTAGGTAGAAAATGGAAGCTTGTCTCCCTTTGTAGAGTTGTGGGAGAAGACAGAGGAACTTCTTTTAGATGGCTGGAGAAAGGAGTCATACTTGGGCCGGAGTAATCCACAGATCTTTAAAAAGGCCGTCAGTGCTCTGCTCCATGTGGTGATCTGCGGGCTGAATCTCACCTCTAGGCGGATGCTATCGGGCATGTGGGGCAAAGGAGCAGGAGGAGTTCTTAACCTTCCCAAAGTGCTGTGGAGACAGGATGCGTTTCAGTCTCTTCTCCATTCGCTGGTGGCATTGAAGTCTGCTGTTCCTCTGAAGTGGGTGCAATTGGTGCATTTTCTGCTGAGAACTTGTCCTTTCAGTTCAGGGTGTGTGATGCTTTGATCGCTGCGTGTTTCCCCCAACAGAAGGTGCCCCACATTGGTGCCAGGGCACTTTGCCTCCTCTTACGGGTTCTTTCAGCTGATAACCAGCTTACATTATTGAAAAAGTTGGGCCATCTCAAACAGTTTTCTCAGGTAGGGGTTGGAAGGGCATCACTACAGAGCTGTTGGGGGCATTACTCACGTGTCAGCTGCAGGGAACCGTCAGTGCTTATTTGGAAGAGTTTGTGGTACTTGTTTCAGTATTTCTAATACATGCAAACACTTATTTCCCTTAGGGGCAAAGCGAGTCCTAGAGCTGGACCAGTACAGGGGAGAAGAAGGACAGGCGCTTTTCCGCGAGACGTTTGGCCACAATGCTGACTACTCACTGGGCGAAGCGCTCTGGGCCTGCTCCAATCTGTTCAGCGATGTCCGAGTCCGGCTGAGCCACAAACGGATCATGCTTTTCACCAATGAGGATAACCCTCACGCCAACGACAGTGCCAAAGCCAAGCTGGCCAGGACCAGAGCTGGTGATCTGAGAGACACAGGTCAGTGTGCTCCCCTTCAGCGTAGGCCTGGAATTTGAGGCGATAAAAGTGATGTGATGGCTCCTTGCAGCAGATGTTAAATGCATTGCAGGTTCCTGATGGAAAAAGAATGTAAAATCATCAGGAATCTTTCTGGCGCTTTCTAAATGAGAAAGTTTGATATCCAATCTAAATTAGAAAATCCATTATCCAACCTGGTATCCGACAACAAACACTTCTTTCTAGGGTCTCTCTATCTACCCTCATACCATAAATCAGAATTAGAAAGGGCCATGGAAATAAACTATTTTACTTCATTGTTCTGCCTCTTTCTCCAGGAAGGGAACAATAACACTAGCAAGGGAGAAATAGCACTAAGCCAACACAAAAGGAAGATTAATGATTGCATTCTCAATTAGCAGAAGATCAGCAACCTGGGCTCAGAGACTGGAGAGCAAATGCTTCGTTAGTTCAACTGTGCAGCTCAGATAAGCATTGTTTTTGGAGTTCAGCATATGTGCTAGATCTAGAAGCTCTGAGGCAACCTTAATCCATCAGCTCTTATAACTGGGAAGGGGGAATTTCTGAACTGATTGCTTCCCTCTATGCCTGAAGGAAGATTAGGTTTTAAAGGAGCTTAGCAGAGCTGTTTCATGCACCATGTTGATGCAATTCTCAATTAAGGAAGGAACCTTTTGCGTGCGACATTGCTTTGACTGAAGATGAAGAAGGTGTTTTGCCTTTTTCTCTAGCAACTTGCACATCTGGTGCAGATGGGGCAATTTGGATCTTTCTCTGTCAATGACAGAGAAATCTGAGAGTTGTGGATCATGCCAGTGTAAGAGCAAAGCAGTTTCAGTGATCCTCTGTCTTTTACTTTCCTTCTAGGTATTATCCTGGACTTGCTGCACTTGAAGAAGCCAGGAGGGTTCGATATCTCTTTGTTCTACAGGGACATTATAAACGTAGCAGAGGATGAGGACCTTGGGATCCAGCCTGACGAGTCAGGGAAGTTGGAAGATCTCATGAAGAAAGTACGAGCAAAGGAGACAAGGAAAAGGGCTTTAGTCAGGTGGGTGTCTTGTTACGGTGTGTCATTCAGTGGAAGCAACTGGATTTTATTTTCAGACTGCATCTCACCTACCTCTTCTGGAAAGATTGGTCTCTAAAAGCATCACTACTTTGATTCCTCAATCTTAATTCCTAAGCCTGAGATTGGTGTTTCTTCCTTAGCTTCCAAGGATATTTATCCTTGGTGGATAAGAGTGAAGAGTGAATCTAGGCCTCCTCTTTTCCACCAAGTGATGTCTCCTGTATTCAGGTTGGCCAGAAAGTATCATGCTGAAAAAATGACATAATTGCCTAAGTAAGATATCTACCCAAAAAATCGTCAACTTGTGGTCTAAAATGTTCAGTTTATAGTGCAATCTGATAGAAATGAGGCTTTGCTTGTCCTTGTTAACTTCAAAAAAAATTCAATCTCTGTGTGACCGATAGGTATTTTGGTCAGTAATTAGTTACATGTGGCCAGTGTGTCTAGGCACTTGGTATGGATTCACACAGCCTTGATATTCCTGATCTACTGAAAGGTTAGAGATACTTATAGAGAGATTAAAGGGAACTTGACAAAGTAGATGGGAAGTATTTTTGGAACCACCTCCTTCATAACAGTTGATTTTATTGAGTGAATTGATGGCAGAATGATGTGGGGTGGGTGCACAGTAAGTGAATGAACTCTACAGCCTCATGTTTTTTTAAAATATATTTAAAAAAATCCCAACTTGAGCTGTTGTTACTAGCATTCTTGCTCCTGCGTGCAACTTTGCTTTTCTCTTCTGGGAATGTGACTCAAGTTTTCTAATACCCAAAAAGGAAGAATCCTGTACCAATGATATTTTTGAGAGGAGAGCAAGTAATGTTCACAGTAATTCACTGTCCTGCGCTCAGAACTTTAAGATTACCTTCAATTTTAAACTTTT